AAATAGTGATTTTGATAATAAAATCACTGTTAAGGATAATTCTTAAACAATCTTACAGGGGGAGTAGAGGAACAATTATGTTACAGTCTAGTCAGTGTAATTTAAATTGGAGAACATTAAAGTCTTGTAAATTGTATTTAATTTTATTTTCAATTACAATCAAATTTTCGTCATTGATAAATCTATTTCTTATATTTGAAGAAGAACATCATCTGAATTTCATACTAATGGTATAATAGATTATTAGTGCCAGTTATGATTCATTTGTGTGGGGAGAGAAAAGGTTAGTTGAGAACATACACATGAAGATGAAGTGAAATATTAGTCTCTATTTGCAACCATTTGGTAATGAGAAGTTATATGGTATTTCCCTATAACCTGCACTACAAAAATTAAACAAGTAGGCAAGTTAGAGTCTTGATGTGTTGAGTAAGTTTACTTCTTTATATTGTGTGGCAGTTGATCTAAATTAACTAAATTTCTAACTAAATAACTAATATTTTAAAAATACATTATTTTTTTTCCAACATAGGTCATATAAATCTGTTCATTACTCTTTATGTTTATATTAAAGATCCTGTATGTTGTTATTGAGGTTGTATACTGGTGGTGGTGTTGGTTGTTTTCACTCGGGATCATGACAGTAAGCCACATTGAATTCACCAATCACGACAGTAAGCCACATTGAATTCACCAGAGCACAGTACTACCAGTTGTATACCACACTATAAATAATGCTTTTTGGAATTTACAAAATTGATAAATCTTTATTTGAGCATCATATTTATGATATAAAACCAGAAAAAAAATTGTGTTACAGGATCTTTAAGTCATGTGGTAGAACTACTTTCAATCTGTATCATAACAAAGATGATAATTGGTAATCTGCAAGGTGTTCCAAATGACCAAGCTCATTCAGTTTGGCACTTCATTTGTTCCCTTTGGTACACTGCGCTACCAATCGCAACCTATACATGTTGTCAATGAATAAAGCAACAAGACAATTGTATATAAAGCTTTTTATTCAGAAATTAACAGAAATTATGCCTCTATTTAAAATGTATAAAAAAGCCAGCACAATAAACAAGTCAAAATAAATTGTCTATCTTCTTGAACAACATAAAGCTTTGGGTGAAATATTCAGGTAAAAGCATATATACATATATGCAAAAACTCTTTCCAACAGTTTCTGAAATTTATAAGAAAACCATGGTACAAAACATGTATACATATCATCAGCTATTGCAGATTAAAAAAATCACCATGTAAAATATTAAAGATATACCATGCTCAAATTTGATATTAGAAAATATTGATAATTGCTGCATAGTCTTTTTGTAAAATAAAATAAACATGTTTTGACTTTACACAAAGTAGATATGTAATGTTTAAAATTCTCAACACTATAGGTGGTCACAAGACTGGCATTTTAGAAAAGACCAACTTTACTTGCTGTAATAGGAAACATAGCTTCCCAATTACATGGCTAATTCATTCTTTTATACAAATTAGACATATTCAGTGAGATTTTCAAAGATTTCAATAAATTTCTGTGATTAAAAAATTTTACTCAAGGATGAGCAAAGTATATCTTTAAACAAGAACAAGAGGGCCATGATGGTCCTGAAATCGCTCACCTGTATATAAGACCCTGGGCCAAGGCCAATTTTAAACCTGAGGCCCCATGTTCACAAAGATTTAAGGATCAGGATCAAATTTAAAAACTCAAATATTCTCCATTATTTATCCTTATAGATTAAATATTCAATATTAAATTGGTAAAACTGAACTTGAAATAGCTTGTTCATGAAATTTTAGAATAAATCTATTGTTATTTTTACAGCAAATGGGCATTTTACAGTTGATCCAAATTTTGATCTTGATCCTAAAATTGATCCTCATTCTGATCCGATTATTTTTGTATTTGTTTTGTTATTAGTTGATTCTATCTCAAAATAGGTTGGTTTCTTTGCAAATAAACAATTTTTTACATTTGAATGTGTACCATTTAACTCTAGCACAATACAATCAATTTTAGTTTTATAAAACAATGAAAATAAAATCAGGATCACCTGATCCTGATCTTTTCTTTGTGAACACGGGGCCAGGGGCTTTTATTTGAACAAACTTGGTAGACACCCATTAGAAGATGTTTTATGAAAAATATCTAAGCTCTAGCTCTTAGGGTTTTTATAAGAAGATTTTTTAAGTTTTTAATATACACATATCAATGACCCCCAGGGTGGGGCCAATTTTAACCTTAGGCCCCTTATTTGAACAAACTTGGTAGACACCCATTAGAAGATGTTTCATGCTAAATATCTTACCTCTAGCTAGATTTTTTAAGTTAAGTCTGGATAAAATTGGCTTAGCAGTTTATGAGGAGATGTCGTTTAAAGTAAAAGTTTACAGACGGACAGACGATGGATGGACAGATGGACGATGGCTAAAAGTGATCACAAAAGCTCACCATGTCACTTTGTGACAGGTGAGCTAACAAGAGCTGTCCGTAAGACAGCGCGCTCGACTTTTTTATTGCTTGCCAATAAAAAAAGTTTTTGCAGTAAAAGGCAATACAAGAATCTCTGTATTTTTAAAGTGAACAATGGCCATGAGCATTAAGATATTTAGTGAAGAATTATTTTATTATGACATAATTTATGGTAAAGTGAACAAGTGGATAGGAATGAATTTTTTTAGATTTTTTAAGTTTTTTAGTGCTTGCCTATAATACAAAACATTGACAGTTAAGGGCCATAATTCAAATAAAATCTTTGACAGAATTACCTTCTCCTGGACATGTTTGGGAATCATGATTGTAAACAAGTATTCCAACTTTCAAATTAATATCTCAAACAGTTCAGTCAAAAAGTGGACTGGTACTAAAAACTTAACCAAGATTCTAAGTCGATAAAAAGGCCTTAATTTTTAAAACAAATCCTTGACAGAGTTACCTTCTCTTGCGTACAGATGGGGGTAATGATGTGAAATAGCATTAAAAGTTTCAAAGCAATATCTCAAAGGGTTAAGGCAATAAGTGGATTTTACCCATATTCAATGTATTTTTCTAAGTCAAAAAGGGGCATAATTCTGTCAAAAACCTTGACAGAGTTATGTCCTCTTGTCTGTTGATGAAGGTCGTGATGGTAAACAAGTATGGTCAGTTTCAAAGCAATACCTCCAATGGTTTTGAAATAAAGTGAGGTGGTACAAAAAACTTAACCAAGCTCAATACACTTTCTAAGTCAAAAAAGGGCCATAATTCTGTCAAAAACCTTGACAGAGTTATGTACTCTTGTCTGTAGATGGAGGTTATGATGGTGAACAAGTATGGTAAGTTTCAAAGCCATACTTGTAATACTTCTGAAATAAAGTGGGGTGGTACGAAAAACTTAACCAAGGTGTGACGCCGACGCCGGGGCGAGTAGGATAGCTCCCCTTTTCATAGAAAAGTCGAGCTAAAAATGAAGTTACAATCAATACACATGTTATATTACTAAATTAAGGTAATCTGTCTGAATTCTGTAACAGACTTTTTAAGTTCTAAAATTGAGCATGTAAACCATTACAAATATATCAACATAATAAACATTGTAAAGAATCTTTATATAAACTGGGCAATTTCTAAATTTGTTTCATTTGTTGTTATTTCAAAAGAGCAATGCCTCCTAAATTTTTGAAGTTGTGACCTTAATATTAATATAAATGAGCCGCACCATAACAAAACCAACATACTGCGTTTGCAACCAGGGCATCTGCACAGTCTGATCAGGATCCATGCTGTTTGCTATCAGTTTCTCTACTTGTAATATGGTTGTAAGCATCACTGATCAGACTGCGTGAATGCACAGGCTGGTCTGGATCCATGCTGGTTGCAAACGCACTATGTATGTTGTGTCATGGCTCTGCTCTTAATTATGCTGTAAGAGCTACTTACTTCTTCGAAAATGATTATAAATCAATTTAACAGGAAATGTACAAGTAGCAACCTTATAAAATTAAATTGGCTAATAAAATTTCAGGTCAATCGCAAAATATGAATTTATCATTCTAATTTTTTTTTAATACAATGTACATGTTGATAACAAAATAAAAATATGATTTAATCATATAAAATCCAAAAGCTCATGGTGTAGTAATATGAGCAAAACATTTGAGGAATAATGGTTATGCTTACACTTGTTCTACTTAGAGAAGCAATTTTACACTTTTTTTTCTAGGCCAAATAAAACCCATAATATTTTTACACTGTTTTCTCTATGTCCAAAAATGTGTGACCATTTAACATCAGTATTGTTTGGTTTTATTAACCTGTCAATTACATACTGATTACACGGTCGATGCACACAGTATATTAATCTTCGGTAGATGTTCGGTAAGTTCCGTGAGATGTACGCTATACAATGGAATTTAATTTAATTTGTATCGCTAAACTAAGTGTACTCAGCGTTATAGCACAAAAGCGTAAATCACGAGTTTATAATCTAAGTGCAACACGTGTTTTAAGTTCATGTTTTTTTCTTATTATTACTTTCAACATTATTGAATCTATATATGATTATTTTATGTTGTTCGTTTTGTTTATGTTTTACTTAATTTTGTTATGTATATACTCTTTTTAAATAACATGTCTTTTAAGAATTCATGTTTAAAATTAAAACGGATTAAAATCAATAAATGTCTTTTCAATGCCGTAAAACATACTACAAATCTGTTCCATTAAAATATACTGCAAAAATAAAGAAAGAGTACTAAAACAATGGCAACAGTAAGGATCGAACCACAGACCTCTCAATTATCAGTCATTCTCTTTACCGACTGTCCTATTGTGAATTAACGAAAACCTTTACATTAAGCTGGCGTGACTTTCAATCCATGACTAATATACTCCACATTAATTCTCGTAAACTACACGGACCAAACCGAAGTGGGATCGAATATTTAAATGAGTCCTATAATGTATTCATAATTGACAGGTCAATAAAATCAGACTATACAGCAGAAGAAATAAAATCTGTTATATTTATAATTTGTAATTATCGTTGATAATTTTGGTATGACATTACATTAATTTTGCAACATAAAGACGATGTTTAAATCATCCTATATAATATGTTAAAGGGACTTCACTGAAGTTTTTTGACATGACAGGAATGGAAATATTTCCTCCAGATTTTTGTACTATTTGATGTTGGTCTTAACCAATAACTTGTATGCAAATCTTCAGATTCCATCACCCTGTATTTCCAGAATACTCATTTTAATTATGCAGTCACCGACAAATGAAAAGCAATGCCTTTCTCTCAAGTGTGGCTAAGCATTGCATAAAAAATCAATTTACAACTTAATTCTAAGTGTCTTTCTATATCATCCATTCATTTTAAGAACTGATCTATGTAAACATTTCAAATTTTATACAAATAGGATTTTAAACCTCAGTGGAGTTCCTTTAATGAACAATACTCTACGTATGATATTTCTATTACCTACCGTATTTATATGTGTGAACTAAATAAAACACCTCAAATTTCTATAATATTTCTATATGCTGCCAGTATATTGAGATCTCTACCATCATAAAACAAAATGTTGTTGTGTTCTCCCAAAGATGATTTCATAAATTATGGTAAAAAAATATATAAAAATTAAAGAAAAATAATGTCAGTAAAGTAAGTATGGATATTTATTTCACCCATTATAACAGATATGAAAATTAAAACTAGATCATGGAAAGAAAAATAATGTCAGTATAAAGGCATGTATGGACTTTTTTTACCCATTATAACTGTTGGTGTACTTAAACACTTAAAAGTGTAAGTACATACACCAAGTCAAAATAACTTTAAAGCTGCACGCCTTCAGATGAGCCAAAATATTTTAAGAAAATCAATATTGAGAAAAATGCACTTAACTTTTAAGAAAGGTAAAAACATTCAAGATCCAAGTTATATTTTACATGTTATGTGCGGTTAAACACTGATTTTGCGGTATTTTATAACCATATTTCTACTACGTTACTAGTCTTTGCATATGTTGACCACTTTTTGGTAATTTTCGTAGATTGTGTCGATTGCAATATGTAAATTTTTTTAATTAGTTCACCTCACAGTATTTTACTTTTACATACATTTCCAAAAATTTTATGAAAATTAACAGGAGTCTGGGGGCGTGCTGCTTAAATTTTGCCATAATTGTTTACAATTTTATATTATGCCACATAAAAATAATCAGTATTCAACAATCATGACCCATGGAAATTTCAATAAATATCCTTAGTAATTTATAATGGAACCATTCACTTGATAAAACGGGTTACAGTCTTTATATTTTTATTTTAAAGGCATTTTCTCATACACTGTAGCCTCGATAACTCGCTCTTCATTATAACGCTAATCTCAGTATTTTTTCCTTAAATTCTGTCACTATTAATTACTGGTCAATGACCATTAAAATTGTCAAACTTTGCAAAAACATAGCTATTTCACCTCGACAGAAAGAAAAATCGCCACACTGTCACTTTAATATGTATTTGTAGTCATTTATGCCTAACAAAAAATGTCTTTAAATAATATTTTTATTTCCTTATAGCTACTGATTCCTAGGACTGGCTTTTATAGAAAAATTTTACTGTTGATTTCACATTTTAAAATCATTAAATCAAATCTTTCATCATTCAATAACAATAGAACCAATAGTGCAATACTTTTTTGCAGAGAAGGAAAAAAAACTGAATACAAAAGATAACAAAATTCACTCATAAAAGCAGTTTCAACAGTTAACCTGCTGGTACTGTAAAGTGATAAGCCTTTGCTACCAATACTGAGCTAGGCCAACCCACACCGTGCAGTCTGACTTGAGTCTGTCTCTACAATGTTGATACCCCACATTTTGTACTTTGATACTGTAATCCCTAAAACTTCAAGTGGACTGTTCCAAATTCAAAGCAGGGCAAATCCATTATACAATTCCAGAGGGGAAGGGAACAATAGAAGCAGTAGCACTTTTGAAAGTAAAAGATACTAAATACTATACAGTTTAGAAAGTTAAAGATATTATATAATACTATATATTTGTAGAATATCAAGAAACAAGTTGACTTCTGCTAATCAATATGGGTTATATATAACTCTAGTACCATGTACATAAATGTATGTTTGTATTTTACATCCAAATTCAAACTGAATTTTTTGTCATTCAAGGTACATTTAAACATATAAATCTCATCAAAAGACATACATGTACAGTATAATAATAATAGTTTGAACTTCTGTAGAATTGGAATAGAAATTTGGAAAAACTATATCATTCATTTTCAAAAACTAAATTAACCCCTAACCTGCTGAATTTGTGAAATGGACTTGCCCAGCTTTGAATTCAGAACAGTCCATTCCAAGTTCAAGGGATTTCAATATTAAAATACAAACAAGAGCTGTCGGTAGGACAGCATGCTTGACTATTCTTAGCACTTAGTAATAAATCAAGTGCCTGGATAATGTTAAGAAAATGGATAATGTAGAATTTTCTAGTACAAAAAGGGCCATAATTCTGTCAAAATCAATGTTTCAGTTAACGGCTATGGATAGTACCCTTCTATTATCCTCTCAAATAAGTTTGTAAAGTTTAAACCCATTCCCTTCATTATTTTTTTTAAAGATATCAACTTGCACACAAAAAACTTAATGAAAGTGTGACGCCTGTCCACACCCAAACAAGTACAAAAGCTCTCCCTATTCTTCAAATAGTCTAGCTAAGACATTGAACTACCAACAGTTTAGAGCCAGACTTCTAGCATAGCTGTACACTGGTGGACAAGTCTAATCTCTTTTTGTTCTAGCAAGTTAAGGGTTAAAAGAAATCATAGAATTAATACTAAAACAACACACATTTGAATTTCACAATGTAACATTTTTTCATTTAATATGCAAGACAGTGTTTTTCAGAGATTAAGCAATATGGCACTCAAAAGTTGGATCAATTTTCAATTTTTAATGATAAATATGTTTATAAAAATGAGCTTTTATGTAAATTTATAACAACATAAAATAAAATGAGCCGCGTCATGACAAAACCAACATAGTGCATTTGCGACAAGCATGGATCCAGACCAGCCTGCGCATCCGCGTAGTGTGATCAGGATCCATGCTGTTCGCTTACAAACCCTATTACAAGTGGAGAAACTGAAAGCGAACAGCATGGATCCTGATCAGACTGCGTGGATGCGCAGGCTTGTCTGGATCCATGCTGGTCGCAAACGCATTACGTTGGTTTTGTCGTGACGCGGCTCAAATGTTGAATTACATGAATGTCAGGAAGATTTGTTTCTTTGTTTGTTATTTCTTCAATAATGAGATGAAAAATAATGTTTGTCTTTGAAAATAAAACAATTTAAAGTTTGATGACAGTATTGCACATTTTTCATAGCAAATGTTTTCATTTAAACATATATATTACATATATTTCATCAGCACTTTAAACATTTTAATCAACCAAAAATACAAATGATAATGAAAAGAATTGCGAGATGATATTTTGTAATGGAACAGGATGTTAAAAAATATATGATGGATTTTGGTTTTACTTCCAAGTTGGAACATTAACTTGATGAAGTGGGAGATGTTATAATTAAGCAGTACTTATGACCAGATTCTGAGATAAAATGGCAGATTTAAGTTTGTCCAAAACAATGTATAATTATATCAAATCATTTTCATTAATTATTTTAACAAACAAGATCTCAGACTACCAGAATACATTATCCAGTAAGGAAGTATAGAAACCATCATGCTCCTAACAAAGATGCTACTGAAACTATGTTAACAACAGTATCCTCTTAAACATTATCAACAATTATAACAAAAGAAAGTTAATCTGCTAAAAGGTTAAATACTTAAAAACATACATTTAAAGTTAACTTTTCAAAGGTTTCCATATGAATAATTACTAATGTCATGATCATTTTGAGTTGGTTTGAAAATGGGATAAATGTAAGAAAAACTTAAGATGAAACAATATGTGAAGATGAAACTTAGCAGATCTTTTTTTCTTTTAATTTGTACTCGTTTGTTAGGTTTTTAGCATTATTTAACTAATGGGAGTCATAAAAAGATTTTCTTGATAGAAGGTGTGCCACCCTGTACAATATTTCAGGCAAAAAAAACAAGCATCTAGGTTTAACCTCAGGCTAAAAACAAGCATTTTGGTATAACTTTAGGCTAAAACTAGAACTATCACTAAATGTGATTAATACCCCCGCAAGACTGCTTCGGAAATGAGGATGTTACTAGTAACAGAATACCTTGTAAAGAATTGAAACAGAGTTATGGTTGTGGGCAATTAAAGATAGTTGTGGTTCTTGTATGTTGCATTTCCTTTCAATGTGGTTGGCCATTGATGAAGTTTTATTGGATTACTCTGTAAGAAGTCCAGAAAGACAAGGAAAAGGAACAAAGGACAATAACTCTATAAATACTGAAGATTGAGTTATGGCTATTGTACACTGCACTTCCTCTCATTGCGCTTGAACATTGTATGAAGTTGTATTGAATTCCAACTACTAGTTTTCAAGTTATGCACTGGACAAAAAAGTAACAAAAGCAATAACTGTAATTAGTCCAAATAGAGTTATTGTTCTTGTGCACTGCACTTCATCTCACTGCCCTTGACCATTGTATAAAGTTTCATTGAATTCCAACCATTAATTTTCAAGTTATGCACTGGACAATAAAAAGTAACAAAAGGCAAAAACTTTAAAATTAGTCAAAAAAGAGTTATGCTTTCTGTGCACTGCACTTCCTCTCAATATACTTGACCATAGTATGAAATAGTTTTGAATTCCAAATAGTAGTTTTCAAGTTATGCTCTGGACAAGGAAAAGTAACCAAGGGCAGTAACTCTGTAATTAGTCAAAATGGAGTTATGGTTCTTGTGCACTGCACTTTCTCTTATTGTGCTTGACCATTGTATGAAGTTGTTTTAAATTCCAACCAGTATGTTTTAAGTTATGCTCCAGACAAGGAAAAGTATCAAAGGGCAATAACTCTGTAATTTGTCAAAATGGAGTTATAATTCTTGTGCACTGCATTTCCTCTTAATGTGCTTGACAACTGCATGAAGTTGTATTGAATTCCAACCAGTAGTTTTCAAGTTATGCTCCAGACAAGGAAAAGTAACAAAGGGCAATAACTCTGTCATTAGTCAAGATGGAGTTATGGTTCTCATGCACTGCACTTCCTCTCAATGTGCTTGACCATTGTATGAAGTTATATTGAATTCCAACTAGTAGTCTTCAAGTTATGCTCCGGACAAAAAAAAGCAATCGAAAAGTAACAAAGGGCAATAACTCTGTAATTAGTCAAAATGGAGTTATGGTTCTTGTGCATGGCACTTCCCCTTATTGTGCTTGGCCATTGTATGAAGTTGTTTTGAATTCCAACCAGTAGTTTTCAAGTTATGCTCCGGACAAGGAAAAGTAACAAAGGGCAGTAACTCTGTAATTAGTCAAAATGGAGTTATGGTTCTTGTACAATGCACTTCCTCTCAATGTGCTTAACCATTGTATGAAGTTATATTGAATTCCAACTATTAGTTTTCAAGTTATAGTCCGGACAAAAGAAAGCAATGGAAAAATAACAAAGGGCAATAACTCTGTTATTACTTTAGATAGAGTTATGGTTCTTGTGCACTGCACTTCCCCTTATTGTGCTTGACAATTGTATGAAGTTGTTTCGAGTTTCAACCAGTAGTTTTCAAGTTATGCTCCGGCCAAGGAAAAGTAACAAAGGGCAATAACTCTGTAATTAGTCAAGATGGAGTTATGGTTCTTGTGCAATGCACTTCCTCTCAATGTGCTTGACCATTGTATGAAGTTATATTGAATTCCAACCATTAGTCTTCAAGTTATGCTCCGGACAAGGAAAATGCAACGGACCGCTGGACCGACCGACCAACTGACCGACCGACCACCGGGTGACTCCTATATACCCCCCCAAACTTCGTTTTTGGGGGTATAACAAGCATCTTTGTATAACCTCAAGCTAAAAGAAGTATCTTGGTATAACCTCAGGCTAAAACAAGCATCTTGGTATAACCTCAAGCTAAAACAAGCATCTTGGTATAACTTCAAGCTAAAACAAGCATGTTGGTAAAATCTCAAGCTAAAACAAGTATCTTGGTATAACCTCATTAAAAATCAAGCATTTTGGTATAACCTCAGGCTAAAACAAGCATCTTTGTATAACTTCAAGCTAATTAAAGTATCTAGATATAACCTCAGGCTAAAACAAGCATCTCTGTATAACCTCAAGCTAATTAAAGTATCTTGGTATAACCTGGGGCTAAAACAAGCATCTTGGTATAACCTCTGCCATAAACAAGCATCTTGGTTTAAGCTGATGAGTACATTGGTAAACCTCAGACAAAACATGTAGCTTGGTATATCCTGGCTAAAACAGGCACCTTGATATAACCTCAGGCTAAAACAAGCATCCTGGCATAACTTTAGGCTAAAACAGGCATTTTGGTATAAGCTCAGGCTAAAACAAGCATCTTTGCATAATTTCAAGCTAAGACAAACATCTTGGTATAACCTGGGCTAAAAAACTGGCATCTTGATATAACTTGGGGCTAAAACAAGCATACTGGCATAACCTTTGGCTAAACAAGCATCTTAGTATAACCTCAAGCATAAACAAGCATTTTGGTTTAACCTTAGGAAAAAATGAGCACACTGGAAAAACCTCAAGCAAAACATGCAGCTAACTAAATTTTGCAAGTCTGTTTCTGTACAAGAACAGGAATGAAGTCTACATAAAAAGCAGTATAATGAAAATTTCCTAAACATGTCCGGTTTTAATTTTGGAATTGTTGATCATTAAAGGGACAGATTTTAATACCAACATGCTAAAATAAATTTGCTATCCACATACAATGTGGTCAGACTGCACCATTAAGCCAGACTGACATTGCTTTACAACAATGGCATATGCAAGACAAAAATATACGACAAACAGTTTACAGGGTAAATTTGAAAGCTGTGTAAGACAAGCAAATCTGGATTAGCAACAAGACATGACTGGTATATACCCATGTAGCTAGAAAACAACATATGCATGTAGATAGATTTCAATGAGCAAATATTGAGCATAACAAAGAGTGATAAAAAGTTGAATGCTATCTCTAAAGCAGTATTACATCTAAGACATTTGAAATACACTAAAGGCTTCTACCTCGCCAATATTGCCTGTTTCTTGATCCGGTAAAATTTGTTCATATGACGGCCACAAATACAACTCTGCTGATTTTAACGTGAGACCCAAAGTCTATTAACAAGAAATTTTTGTAATTGTATACAAGTTAGTAAACACATAGCATTGGCTTGCACAAGAATGTCATGACATAAAAGAATCAAAAGTCATTTGAACGGTCATGTACAATTTGCTGTGTTAAGTGCATTGTTTTCATCGTTGTTTTTTTTCCGTGTCATTATTGTAATAGGCAAAGATTTCATATTGAATTTTATGCACTTTAGAAGCAACAAATAATATTTAAAAGCTCTAAGTATTTGAGTCAGAAAATGATGGTCAACTACACTAATAGAATTTGGGCCTTAGGTAGATTTTATTAATGGTATATTAATTTCTACCTAGAATGACCTTGAACTACTAACTTACTTTAGCACTTTTTAAGCTATATAGTGTCCAAATTTTGATCATATAAAGAGTTCTGTTTTTTGGAATAAAACTTAAAACTACACAATACAATGAATTAATGACCTTAATCTTGTAAAGAACATTAAATTTGTAAAACCTTGTATTACTGTAAACTTACTTAAACCTGGAGTTGAGTTCCATTAACTTTCTTAAATAAACATGTACTTTTATATGTGAAGTTTTTTATCATTGAAAAACAAGAAAGAAAAGAAAAACATTTCAGGTAACATGAGAAGACAATATAAAAAGATTTAGGAAAACGTTTGAACTGAATGTAAAGATGTTACAAGAATAAAGAAACTTTTTATCAACTCCCATAGATGTAAATTTTGAAAAAGTTCTAAAATTTGAACGATGACAATGATAAACAATGTCTTGAGGGCATGGGACCAAAGTTTACAGTAAAACATTTCATCAAGAACAAAAATAGATTAACAAGTTACATATTACAACAAACATAAAAAGATAATAAAAAAACATTTCATCTAAAATTACATAACTCAATAATAAACTATTATAACAAAAATTTGTAACAAATATAGATTCACAATTTTGTAAAAAGAGAAAAAAACCGATGAAATTTAATTCACAATTGATGTCCTCTCATTATATGAGAATAAAAACCGTATTTATTACCGCACTGTTTCCCGCAAACGTTACATTTGAACGGATCCGTATGACTATGACAGCCGATGTGAATTGAGAACAGAACTTCATCGTCAAAATTAATTCCACAATATTCACATCTTGACTCGCCACAGACCGAACTATGATGTTCGCTAGCATCTGATTCGCTAACCGACTGAGATCGGAAAGTTGTCCTTGAACTCTGACACTGAGATCGTGAATTTGTGGTAGACGTTGTTGAATTGCTCATATTACATTGCACAGCCCGATCTATGCCCCGAAAACGGGGCCGCCCACAGAAATCATAATAATCTCCATCTAGGTCAATTTCAGATTTTACGATAGGTAAAACACACTGAATTCCTCTAGTTGTATGGTCTGATTTAATGATAGTGTTGCTGGGAGGGGGCGATAACATGCTTGTATCTTGGTTTAATTCATTGCCATTTTCAAGTTCAATATTGACATGAGTAACAGTTCCTGATGAGGCAGCGTGGTCAGAATTACCGCATATTTTACGAGGACTAGTGAGATCTGTGGGAATATCGTTGTGCGGATTCCCTGACAATAAACTGTCTTCATTACGACTGCGACCTATCGGTAATTGCAATGTTCCAGCTGACCCATTAGCTAACAAATTAATACCTGGATTAACAGTATCAGATTGATTATGGGTATGATTGTCCGTCAAGTTTCTAGTAATATCTGGCATTGTTAAACCTCGCGAGTGAGCCGAGCTAGATATACTGCAGGCATTATCTAGGTCCGCCTCTATCTTAACCTTTACATCTTGATGAAAGTCATTACAATTAGAGTGTGGGCATGAACCATGGTTATTACAAGTGTGTACGTCTTGTATGGGATGACTATTGTCTAAACCGGGCGGTATATAATAATTTGATGATGTCACGGTGCTAGTTGCTGCCTGTCGCGATGATTCTGAATTCATTATGGATGATACAATTGATCGTAAATAATTTGAAGCGAGATTCTCTCCATGCCGATCTCTGTAATTTCCGTACGGAACACCATACTGGTCAAGAGGAAAATTCATCGCAGGTTGTCTCCCAGTAACAGAATACGGGAAACCAACCCTGTTTGATCTATTGACCAGTAACGAATTATCAAATATATGTCCTGTGTAATTGTTTGTATCTGTACTCTCTGGCTGATATCCATGAGATCCGATATAACGTTGAGGCGACACAACATTTCTAGATATGCCTGGAATAACTGAAGACTGCGCTAAATCCGGCATATCCGGGTGAGCCTGCTGGTAGTGATCGCGTAATTTACGAGAAATTGACGTAACATATGCACACTTAACACATTTCAGTACGTTAACAGGTGATGTTTTATGATGAAGTCTCCGATGACGTCTAAAGTTGGATTTATCGTGTGTAGTGTAGTCACATAATGAGCAACGAAATGTCTTCCCATTTCCTATAATAACATAAACAGTAATAAAATATGTACAGCTCACAACTATTAATTAATCAAATAATATCAAAACAATATACTATAAATATTCTAATTATTCCACTAATATTCTAGACTTTTTACAAAGAAAGTATTAACATTCAATCACAATTTTTTTTCCATCATTTTCATGGCTTTCATGCTAATGTCAAGGTCATTATGGAAACATTGTTGCATTACTGATATTAGAAGACTTGTCTCCCACTATTTCATTGATACTGGAAACCTTAGTAGAACCAAAATTGATTCATTAACTGATTAGCTTCCTAAAATAGAAGAATTCAGTACCCCTGATAGAACCCTAGCTGTGGAAGTCTGATTATTCCAAGTCTGGCAGTGACTTAAAACAGTTGACAAAGGACCCTTTTCAAAAAAACAAAGCCTAATTATAAAGCCAAAATATAATGACTTCAGCAGCTTAAAGATTCTGTGATTTTCTAAACTCAAGCCGTCACAGGAGTGACACATACCATTAGTGCCTCACCATCTCTATGACTCAGGATTATAAAAAGGTCTATTTAATTTTTTTTTTAAAAAGTGAACATAAGTGTGACAACAAAATTGGCAGGCATTTGACCTTCATAACCTTGACATTGAGTCAGCACTGCAACAGAATGGATTTTGCACATCGCCGTATTCAGGTGACTATCAGATGTTTTCAAGAAAATCTTTCAAAGGGTATAGGATTTATCAAGTTGGAAGGTAGAGGAACCAACCTATAAACTGACCAATGCAACAAAGTGATTTCAGTATAGGTCCTGCCACTTAATGTAGTGCAGAATAATTGTCCTTTTAGCATTGAAACAATCACTTTTATTTAAGAAATAGGGGTGAAGTGATTCTTAGTCAAAGTTTAACAGGGCTCACACTGGCTCAAATAAAATAACAGCCAATAATTTCAACTTAAAAAAATAATAGCCAAAAGTTCAGCGGACTATTCACGAATTAGCGATTAACAACATAAGCAGTTGATTAAATAAACATTACATATAGTTTTATAAGGATTCTCAAATAAACTGATACATTTGTGTATATTGATAACTACCTTTTTTTTTAAAATAGAACCACAACTTTAATTATTATAGAACAGATAAAAACGTTATAATTCGTATAATTACTGTATAACAATAATATTAAAGATTCATTATAACTTTACATAATGCTGTTATCAGACAACTTTTTTTGTTTGTTCTGATCAAATTTTGTCAGCTATAACCTCTGTCAATTTCCACATTTCACACAGAACTGGAGTAGATCTAAGTCATATTAGCCTATAGAAATAACACAAGTTTGCAAACTCATTCACAGAATGCAGCCTTTTTTTCTGAATAATTTACTGAAAAATATCATCATCACCAATGTAATACAAATTTTCTGCCATAGTAGTAAAGATTTTTAAACAGAACATAGCTTACTTCACCTTTAAATAAAAATCAAAATTATCGGTGTCGCGAAAATATGTGACAATCGGATTTTTCCTGTTTTCTGAAGAAATATTCACAATTTTGGTTGTTGTGCAAATAGTTGTTTGGAAGTTAATACTTTTTAAATATTTTACCATTGTTTTCCACTGGCGATTTAGTCAAGTAGCTTAAAACAAACAAAAAAATCAAAATTTGCAATTACTGCAATTCACGGTTAATTTTCGGTAAGTCAATATCCAGTTTATCCATTTTAAAATGATTTTTGTGGCTAATTGACGGATATTTGATGGCTATTATAAATGCTGGACAATATCTTTGAAGTACTTATACAATTATACATCTCGCATGTATTTTTTCACCTCGGGCAATATAGTTAGCAGCACATGACCGGTAAAAAGTTGACACTCAATTAAATGCACCCTGCTGGTGTTAATTGGGTCTACTGCATTCATTATCGATTTTTACACCTTATATAAACACTGTTGGAAGTAAAAAATTAATCGCCAGATTTTGTAGCCAAAATGCAAAAATAGTCGCCAATCTTATAAAACAAGAGGGCCATGATGGCCCTGAGGTCGCTCACCTGTATATAGGCCCCTGGAGCGGGGCCAGTTTAAACCCCAGGGCTTTTATTTGAACAAAACTTGGTTGTATATGTATGCATGTATATATATATATATATATATATATATATATATATATATATATATATATATATATATATATATATATATATATATATATATATATATATATATATATATATATTATATATATTATATAATACCTATATATATATATATATATATATATATATATATATATATATATATATATATATATATATATATATATATATATGTATGTATGTATGTATGTATGTATGTACATATATATACATACATATATATACATATATATATACATATATATATATATCGTATATATATATACATAATATGTATATATATATCTATATACATTATATATTATATAATACCTATATATATTAGAGCTGTCATCGATATCGACAATATCGATGTATCGTTGATATTTTTTTGTCGATCAATAATCGATACACATTTTAAAAAATCGATACTTTTGACTAATAAATTAAATGTCTAGAAATTATAAAATTCACCAAAAATATATACAGAAGCAGTAATTTATATCTAATGTTATGCTTTTGTTATATAGTGGAATTATTTCATAGCAATGGTGACAAAAATATTGTCTGGAAAAAATCATGCAGTGGACAAGACACTGTACAGAACATGTTTTTGACTGAAATCATTGAAACAGGTATGAAAGTGAATGACAGACAAGTGAGTATAGGATATTATCGATATATCGGTGTATCGTTGATTTTAGTCACTTGATATCGATATATCGTTGATATGCTTTGCACTGAATCAATGACAGCTCTAATATATATATATATATATATATATATATATATATATATATATACAAAAAATGAAAACAAGTGCCGGAAAAAAGTCACACATATATATATATATACATGCATACATATACAACCAAGTTTGTTCAAATAAAAGCCCTGGGGTTTATAAATATATATATATCATATATATATATACATAATATGTATATATATTTATCTATATATACATATATATATATATATATATATATATATATATATATATATATATATATATATATATATATATATATATATATATATATTAAATATATATGTATATATATATAATATGTATATATCTAAAAAAAAAATGTCAAGCTAATGAATGACCCCCGGGGAGGGGCCAATTTTGACCCCAGGGCTTTTATTTGAACAAACTTGGTAGACACCCATGATAACATGTTTCATGCTAAATATCTTAGCTCTAGCTCTTTGAGTTCTTTAAAAGAAGATATTTTAAGTTTTTACTAAATGCATTTAGGGAAAATTAATGACCCCCGGGGGCGGGGCCAATTTTGACCCTAGGGCTTTTATTTGAACATACTTTGTAGACACTCATTAGAAGATGTTTCATGCTAAATATCTTAGCTCTAGCTCTTTGGGTTCTTTAAAAGAAGATTTTTTAAGTTTTTGCTATATGCATATAGGGAAAATCAAAGACACCCTGGGGCGGGGCCAATTTTGACCCTAGGGCTTTTATTTGAACAAACTTGGTAGACACTCACTAGAAGATGTTTCATGCTTTATATCTAAACTCTAGCTATCTGGGTTTTTTCAAAGAAGATTTTTAAGTTTTTGCTATACACAGTCATATAAGGAAAATCAATGACCCCCGGGGCGGGGCCAATTTTGACCCTAGGGCTTTGATTTGAACAAACTTGGTAGACATTCACTAGAAGATGTTTCATGCTTAATAGCTAAACTCCAGCTATTTGGGTTTTTTTAAAGAAGATTTTTTAAGTTTTTGCTATACACATATAAGGAAAATCAATGACCCCCGGGGCGGGGCCAATTTTGACCCCAGGGCTTTTATTTGAACAAACTTGGTAGACACCCATTAGAACATGTTTCATGCTAAATATCTTAGCTCTAGCTCTTTGAGTTCTTTAAAAGAAGATTTTTTAAGTTTTTACTATATGCATATAGGGAAAATCAATGACCCCCTGGGGCGGGGCCAATTTTGACCCTAGGGCTTTGATTTGAACAAACTTTGTAGGCACTCATTAGAAGATGTTTCATGCCAAATATCTAAGCTCTAGCTCTTACGGTTTTTTAGAAGAAGATTTTTTAAGTTTTTCTTATTGGTTGCCATGGCAACCAGAGTTTTTAATGGAATTTAAATTTTTGAACAACTTTGAAAGGGGTCCACCTAAGGATCATTTCTGTAAAGTTTGGTTGCAATTGGCCATGTAGTTTAGGAGGAGATGTTGTTTGAAAAGTTTGACGCCATTTTTTGAAGGACGCACGACGCACGACGCACGACGCACGACGGACGCAGAGTGATGACAAAAGCTCACCTTTGAGCACTTCGTGCTCAGGTGAGCTAATAATCGCAAATGGCGACTATGGCGACCGACAGGGTGAGCCCTGGTTTATAAAGAGAAATACATGTACTGTAGCTACAAATACTGTAAAAAGCATAGAAAAACAGCATACCACCATGTTTTGCTGAGTGTAACTGGAACTGGTTATAACTACTGGAGGAGTAGTTGCACAGTCTACACTTGTAGTTGTGGGGTAGCTGACAAATCTCCGAGTCCGGTGATGATGGATAGATACCACCATTGCCATGACCTAAACAAATAGAAACAAACTTAATCCCCAGTATTTAAAAAGAAGGCAATAAACCAAAGTGTTTATATTAGTAATCGTTAACTTCAGGTAAATGAAATAATTAAGTACAGTCATAGATCTTGGTAAGAGAGCAAGTACATTTGAGCCGCGTCACGACAAAACCAACATAATGCGTTCGCGACCAGCATGGATCAGACCAGCCTGCGCATCTGCGCAGTCTGATCAGGATCCATGCTGCTATCAGTTTCACTATTTGTAATAAAGGTGGTAAGCGAACAGCATGGATCCTGATCAGACTGCTGCGCAGGCTGGTCTGGATCCATGCTGGTCGCAAACCCATTATGTTGGTTTTGTCATGACGGGGCTCATTTGTAATTGGTCTTGGTCAGTGACCTATAATATTTAATAATCCTGAAAATATCTTGGAAATTTCAACAAGTTACTGGCTGTTACTGCTGAGATAGAAATATGAATGCAAAACTTAAAACAACTGAATATCTTTAATGAATGATTAATGAAAAATAAATTGTTTGCAAAATGATTTTATCAACACCAAGGTTAGTAAGTCGATGTTCCATTTGAAATAGTAAAGCTAAAAATCACAATAATCTAATATATAGTCAAAAACGAGAGAGATATAGATTCTTACCACCAGGTGGAGTGTTATTTCTGTGCACTGACTGGTGTAATTGTGTTGGACTGAGTCTCCTTCTCACACCTGAAATAGAATTACCATTGAAATACTGGTACTGTGAATTCATTTAATTTTGTGAATCTGAAATTTCAGGGTTTTGTCACAAAGAACATTTTCATGGGTGAGTACTTAAATTCGTGGATTGTTTATTTTTCCAAATAATGTGAAGCAAAACTAGAACTATCACTAAATGTGATTAATACCCCCACAAGTCTGCTTCGGAAATGAGGATGTTACTAGTAACAGAATACCTTGTAATAGAATTGAAACATAGAGTTATGGTTGTGGGCAATTAAAGATAATTGTGGTTCATGTATGTTGCATTTCCTTTCAATGTGGTTGGCCATTGATGAAGTTTAATTGAATTACTCTGTAATAAGTCCAGAAAGACAAAGAAAAAGAACAAAGGGCAATAACTCTATAAATACTGAAGATAGAGTTATAGTTCTTGTGCACTGCACTTCCTCTTATTGTGCTTGACCATTGTATGAAGTTGTTTTGAATTCCAACCAGTACGTTTTAAGTTATGCTCCGGACAAGGAAAAGAATCAAAGGGCAGTAACTCTGTATTTTGTCAAAATGGAGTTATGGCTCTTGTGCACTGCACTTCCTTTTAATGTCCTTGACAACTGTATGAAGTTGTACTGAATTCCAAACAGTAGTTTTCAAGTTATGCTCTGGACAAGGAAAAGTACCAAAGGGCAATAACTCTGTAATTAGTCAAGATGGAGTTATGGTTCTTGTGCACTGCACTTCCCCCTAATTGTGCTTGACCATTGTATGAAGTTGTTTTGAATTCCAACCAGTAGTTTTCAAGTCATGCTCTGGACAAGGAAAAGTAGCAAAGGGCAGTAACTCTGTAATTAGTCAAGATGGAGTTATGGTTCTTATGCACGGCACTTCCTCCTAATGTGCTTGACCATTGTATGAAGTTATCATGAATTCCAACAATAAGTCTTCAAGTTATGGTCCGGACAAAAGAAAGCAATGGAAAAGTAACAAAGGGCAAATAACTCTGTAATTAGTCAAGATGGAGTTATGGTTCTTGTGCACTGCACTTCCCCCTTATTGTGCTTGGCCATTGTATGAAGTTGTTTTGAATTCCAACCAGTAGTTTTAAAGTCATGCTCTGGACAAGGAAAAGAAACAAAGGGCAGTTACTCTGTAATAAGTCAAAATGGAGTTATGGTTCTTGTGCACTGCACTTCCTCTCAATGTGCTGGACCATTGTATGAAGTAATAATAAATTGCAACAATTAGTCTTCAAGTTAAGGTCCGGACAAAAGAAAGCAATGGAAAAGTAATAAAGGGCAATAACTCTGTAATTAGTCAAGATAAAGTTATGTTTCTTACGCACTGCACTTCCTCTCAATGTGCTTGACCATTGTATGTAGTTATATTGAATTCCAACCATTAGTCTTCAAGTTATGCTCAGGACAAGGAACATGCAACGGACAAAAAAAAAAAAAATAATGGAAAAGAAACAAAGGGCAATAACTCTGTAATTAGTCAAGATAGAGTTATGGTTCTTGTGCACTGCACTTCCTCTCAATGTGCTTGACCGTTGTATGTAGTTATATTGAATTCCAACCATTAGTTTTCAAGTTATGCTCCGGACAAGGAAAATGCAACGGACGTCTGGACCGACCGACCGACCGCCCGACCAACCGACCGACCACCGGGTGACTCCTATATACCCCCCCAAACTTCGTTTTTGGGGGTATAATAATCAACTGAAATTTGGTTGGATCTTAAATTCATGGACTGATCTATCCATAAAAATAAAATACGAAAATTAGTGCTCCATGAAAAATCTTGATTTTTGCAGTAGTCCTGGTATGGAAACATTTGTTGCCATTCTTATACTAGGAAACCATTTATACTAATAAAACATTCATTCTAGGAAGCAATTCATACTCGGAAACCATTTATACTAGGAAACCATTCATACTAGGAAACCATTTATACTAATAAACCATTCATCATCATATCATAAAAACCAAGATTTTGCAATGAACTAATAAAACAAATACATGTAGCAGATAATTAACTTTTTTTTTGGTTTTACCAACATAATTTTAGTCATATGGCACCAAAACAAGGAAGATGATTTTAGCCAAAACTACTTAAAAACTTACTTAAAGCAACACCAGGGGTCAAGAGAACTTTGGTTGAGACCACCTGCTTGAGCTAAGAGATTCATACATAGACTGCAGTAATTCAAACCAAATTACATGTATTTGCCTCTTACGATCAAACAGCGATAAAGGGTCACTGCAATTCTGACGCCTCAACCCTTAAAGGCAACCTCTCAGCCAGAAGGGGAAATGAAACAGCCAAAATTGAAATTCTAGGTAGGGAGAGTCTGACAGACAGACACACAAACAAACAGGTAAAAAAAAATATGCTTATTAACTATCATTTGATGCAGGGCTTTAAACTTTAAAGGGACTCCACTGAGGTCCAAAAGCTTAAAAACATGAAAATTGAATTTTTTACAAAAACAGAACAATATGCAAAAAATAATTAAGAAATATACTCAGAAATAAATTGAAAATCGTACTTGTGGTATCATATAAGTCCAATTTTAAATGAAAAGCATTGCAACGCTTTTCAAATTTTGGTAATTTTTGCTGTGATAATAATTATTCTGGAAAAAAGGAAGTGAGTAAAGCTACAGTCTCACTTACATCCCTGCAGAGCCCTGGCAGAGCCCAAGTAGACGTCCGGGGTGATCCGGGAACGACCGGGGTACGACTGGGAACAACCGGGGTACATCCATAACTCTGCCGGCAACGTCCTGTATGATCCGGGATGATCCGGGAACATCCGGCATTCGACCCCGGATGGAATAAAATATTTAATATCACCGGGGTGGTCCGGGATGATCCGGGAAGGCATAGCTTTGCCAGCTTCATCCTTAGCTCTGCCGGGAACGACCGGGGTTATACCGGGAAAGCACCGTAGCTCTGCCGGCACAAACCGGGGATGATCCGGGGTATGATATAGCCAGTAGAGCTACGGTAGAGCCCCGGTATATGCCGGCAGAGCTCCGGTAACTACAGACAGAGCCCCGGAGGATAAAGGTAGAGCTACGGTTGATCCCGGTAGAGCCCCGGCAAAGCCCGGATCATTTCAAAAGAATAACGACATTTTGCGATGATTGCACTTATTTGTATTAAAAGCCTTCCCATTTCCCTTCTATCAAGTATGGCATTAGGATTTTTCAGAAAATCATCATGAATTACTATTCTGGAACAATAGATATTATATTAAATAACAAGAACTGTCGGAGGACAGTAACGCTCGACTATTCGAAAATTTGTCACAAGGGTGTTTCATTGAGTATAATAATGCTTACCTATATGAATATATAAAATTGTCCGAAAAGGTACAAACCCTTCAAGTTTCAATACATTCCCTTCAGTAGTTATGGAGATACAAGCTTACACACAAAAACTTAGCCAAGAATTTATGAATCGAAAAAGGGGCAAAAAGGGGCAAAATTATGCAAAAAGTAAATCCAAGTTATGGGACTTGTGCCAATCATCTTAGATAATCACAGACAACAAGAGTGTGAAGTTTCAATCCATTCCCTTCAATAGTTATGGAGATACCAGCTTACACGCAAAAACTTAACCAAGAATTTCTAAGTCGAAAAAGGGGCATAATTATGTAAAAAAGCAAATCAGAGTTATGGGACTTGTGTCAATCATCTTAGATAATCACAGAGAACAAGAGTGTGAAGTTTCAATCCATTCCCTTCAGTAGTTATGGAGATACCAGCTTACACGCAAAAACTTAACCAAGAATTTCTAAGTCGAAAAAGGGGCATTATTATGTAAAAAAGCAAATCAGAGTTATGGGACTTGTGCCAATTATTTCTAAGATAATCACAGAGAACAAGTGTGTGAAGTTTCAATCCATTCCCTTCAGTAGTTATGGAGATACCAGCTTACACGCAAAAACTTAACCAAGAATTTCTAAGTCGAAAAAGGGGCATAATAATGTAAAAAAGGAAATCAGAGTTATGGGACTTGTGCCAATCATCTTAGATAATCACAGACAATAAGTGTGTGAAGTTTCAATCCATTCCCTTCATTAGTTATGGAGATACAAGCTTACACGCAAAAACTTAACCAAGAATTTCTAAGTCGAAAAAGGGGCATTATTATGTAAAAAAGCAAATCAGAGTTATGGGACTTGTGCCAATCATCTTAGATAATCAAAGAGAACAAGTGTGTGAAGTTTCAATCAATTCCCTTCAGTAGTTATGGAGATACCAGCTTACATACAAAAACTTAACCAAGAATTTCTAAGTCGAAAAAGGGGCATAATTATGTAAAAAAAGCAAATCAGAGTTATGGGACTTGTGCCAATCATCTTAGATAATCACAGAGAACAAGTGTGTGAAGTTTCAATCCATTCCCTCCAGTAGTTATGGAGATGCCAGCTTACATACAAAAACTTAACCAAGAATTTCTAAGTCGAAAAAGGGGCATAATTATGTAAAAAAGCAAATCAGAGTTATGGGACTTGGGCCAATCATCTAAGATAATCACAGAGAACAAGTGTGTGAAGTTTCAATCCATTCCCTTCAGTAGTTATGGAGATACCAGCTTACATACAAAAACCTAACCACAGGGACGCCGACGCAGACGCCGACAAATGGGTGACTGCATTAGCTCGATTATTCTGCGAATAGTCGAGCTAAAAATTATGTATAAATGTTATCATTTTCAATCCACCGGGGTTCTACCGGGCTCTGCCTGGATCGTCCTGGCTCTGCCGGGACTCTTCCTGGATCGACCGGGGCTCTGCCTGGGTCAACCGGGGCTCTTTTCGGCATCATCTGGGAACGACCGGGGAAGCACCGGCATGAACCGTAGCTTCACCTGGGCTCTGCCTGGATGATCCGGAGCGCATCCTGGGTGGTTAGTAGGAAACTACCGTAGTGCTGCCGGGGTAAAGTGTGACTGCAACAATAATTTCATCCCGGATCGTCCCGGATCATCCCGGTAAACTTCCCGGGATGGTCCTGGGCTCTGCGGGAGTAAGTGAGACCGAGGCTTAAATAATCTGTTCGAAAATCATGTCAAAAACCCTCAGTGGAGTCCCTTTAATGTTATGGTATAGAGATTCACACTTACTAGAAGACACAAAAGATCTGTCATGTGTCATGTCTATACTTCCATTGTCCGCTGGTGAGAGAACTGTCCTACGTGGTGGTTTGGGCCGCTCTGGAGGTGTCTTGTCTGATATCACCCGCACTCGACTCAAATGATCGTTACTAGCCTCTGAGTTACCTACAAACAAACAAAATATATACCGTGGGCTTAGCGCAAAACGGTTGTAACTCACTTTTTTCCACAAAATAACATTTTTAACATTTTCAATGTGTTTTGTGGTTATGCATATCCTCAGTAAGTATTTTAAATGGATTCTGAAAATTAACAAGTTAAATCAATATTTGTCAAAAGGTTGTATCTCAAATTGCTCTTAATTTTCAGCGCAAAAGGGTTGTATCTCAAGTTACAACCTTTTTGCGCTGAAAATTCTGATAGTGCAATGGAAGTAAATTAGCATTCTGTTTGTCTTATTTGAATCATCACATGAAAAGGAGGATTTAAAGACAGTAGAAAAGATTTTTTATTTAAATATATCTAAATAAACCTTAAATATTGGTAAAAAATTCAACTAAATTGTGATTTTATATTATCTTCATGAAATTTTTAATCTTTTAATAGTTTAATCTCATAAATTAATTCCAATAAATGAAAATATCCACTGCCACAATCAGCAATTGTTTGATTTAGTAAATGAAATAACTTTCAAATATATATTGAAGGACAAATGTCCATATTCCCCCCCCCCCCACACACACACACCTACCTCAAAAACACAAACAGTTTATAAAATAACAAGGTGGACAGATTAAGCCCCTTATGGGTCGAAAATTAGCGCCACACTTATTTTTACAGAGCAGACAAACGTTTCACTATTTTGAAAAATAATGCACATGTAGATTTAATTCAGAATATCTTCTTCAGTTTATGCTCATAGTAGCACAAAGTCTGTTCATTGAAGGTATGTCAAGGCCACCTAGCTCAGACCCATAATGCTTCAGAAATGCTTTTATTTTTATTTCTCAAAAGCTTCTAAATTTTAGTGTTCTTATCAAGAAAGTTACTCATGGCAAATTACCTGAACAATCTTTTTCATCTTTTGCAATTTTGAAAGAAGAACAGTTACAGTGAATTAGTATTCTTTGTGGAAGTCAATACTGCCAGTGCTTTGATTACATTTTGCTACTTTTATGACAAATTATATTACATTGATCACCATTTTCTTCATGGTACAAGCATCTTACATTCTCAAAAAACATATTATTAATTTATTATTGTGAATGGCTGAGAAAACTACCATAGTATATCATAAAGGTATGATTAAAGATAAAAGAGTGGAAGGGGATATGGGACCATTATTGAAGGGAGGGAGGTGGGGGTGTAATCTCCAACTATACAGACTAAAGACACACTGTAAAATACAAAGAGGAAAAACTGAGAAGGGAATGGACAAAGTGGCAGGAACCAAGACCATTGTTAAAATCCCCAAACAAACCATTGAAGCAAATGACATACTTAAAAAGGAACAATAGAATGACATTGCCTTGAAACATGGAAATAGCAAAAACATAGCTTAAGAGTTTATAATATAAAGTCTTTTTACAGCTTCTATCCACATACAATGTAGAATTAACCTAAAAGAAGTCCATATTAAACTCTATATCACAAATTCAGGGTAAGACCAAATTTGAAGAGGACCATGTTTAAATATTATAAACATCCAGTTTTAATTCTGTAATTTATTAAGTTTGTTATGATGATCTTTGAAGTCTGTAACCCTTGACATGTTGGAACAGAAAATGATCAGTTCTTGCCAAAAGTATAGATCCAGGCCAGCCTGATCACCTGTGCACTCAGTTCAGTTTCTGTACTGTTGACAGCTCAATTTTAGTTCCTGTATATTGATTGATTGATTTGATTGATTTTTCCAAATACAAAGCAGGGCAAATCCATTACAGACATTCAGCAGTTTATTTTTATAAACAAATTGTTCACTAACAGACAGACAGGGGTATGTTTTTTCCCAACAATATTGACCATGCACTCTTCATTTGTCCCGCTAGCCAGTAAATTCGGTAAACTTTTGATCTACTTTAAAATCTTAATGAATGTTTATAATACTGCATGTTTGTAACGTCGCTTTTCATTGGATAATCGTGACGTTTATATAGTTTTATATACAAGGCTCGCAGCTGTCGATTCATAAAAACATCTTACTTTTTTCTCTAAAAAAAAATGCTTGCTGTATTATAAATTCGTTATAAAGATTGTTGACAGGTAATATGGCGGTATATAAACGGCTGTTTGCAATTTAACCCCGCCTACAAATAGCGGTTTATATAGGGCCATATAACCTGACAACAATCTTTATAACTAATAATATAACCAGTTGTTAAATGGTCTTAATTAAGAATCCCTCTTAGCGCAAGCAGTAATTAATACGTCATTGCTTCAAGATATTATAGACATTATAAAGTCGTAAGTTAAAATCCTGGTTCAGCCACTTTATTTCTTTTAATTTTAAAATTGCCCTTCTCTCCTTCTGTAAATTAACTCGTGCAAATCATTTTTTTTGTGTGTATACTATCTGTGTACTTTTATATTAACTCTGTAGTCTGTATGCGCTAAACCATATACGTTTGCATAATGTCACCAAGAAACCATTGAAAAATATGGGTTCTAGAGAAAAACTTACGATTGTCCAACGTCTGTATGTCAGAGTACGTAAGAAAACAAGTCATCTTGATAAAACAAAAGGAAACACCACACTACTTAAAAGTTCTCCTAAAAGTAGATACATTAAAACAATTTCAAATTAATTCAATTCTTGCTATAATAAAAAAAAAACAAAAAAAACCAAAAAGTGTGACTTCATAACGCAGCGTTGGTTAGGAATCAAACCAGAGACCTTCAGATCAGTAGCCCAGAATCTATACAAATATACCTCACCTAACTGACATGTGAAGATAACAAATATTTATCAATATGTTCGTTTGATACAAGTGTTTTTTCAATGACCTTGATGAAAGTTAATGAAGATCAAGAACAATATTGTTGGACAATATTACCAACCAAAATATGCCCAGAAGTAAAAGAAATTTTTTTTGGGGATATAGAATGTACAACTTCTGCAAATTTAATGAGAACTGGTCAGTGGGTTGATGTAATTTAAAGGTATTCTAAGCTTTTATGAACTTCCTAGAATGACAAAGTACTTGTAATTGATATTATAACTGAAATTGAAAGGTATAACAAGTAGAAATTGATTTATCAGCACCCATCAATTTTAAGCAGTGGTCTCACTTACTCCCGGCAGAGCCAAGGACCAACCTGGTAAGTAACCAGGATGATCAGGGACAATCCGGGGTGAAATTATTGTTGCAGTCACACTAACCCCGGCAGCAATATGGTATTCCCAACTAACCAACCAGGATGCGGTCCTGACCATCCAGGCAGAGCCCAGGTGAAGCTATGGTTAATACACTGGTGCTTCCCCGGTCGATCCCTTGTAGATTGAAAAATTAAACGCACAAAAAGAATAACAGTCAGGGCTCCAGATAATTTTTTAGGGCAATGAGTATTTACTCATTGATTTTTTTGTGAATGAGTAAAACTTGAAATCTGAAATTTGGCAGGAGTATTTTTACTCCTTAAAATGTATGTAAAAGAGTAAAACATTTATTATGCTTCCATGTTTATTGCATTATCATACTTGTAATACAAGATATGTCAAAGTCATTTCTTTTGCTTTTTGGACTCCCTTGGTTTACAATCTTGCGTACGTTTTATCTGAACCTGAGGCATGTTTCTGTTGCTCATACGTGGCAGCGCTAATTATTTCATTAATTACAACCTTAACCGATTTTTTTCGGCATAAAATACGAGTCAATCGTTTTAACTTTTGACAGCGACATTGTACCGGATGTTTATGAAATTGTGTTAATTCCACCACCTTACTATACATACGATAACATCCGATGATAGTCGGAACTACAGGAAGTTTCCGTTAGACGTTGCAAAGCATTCATACGAAGTTTATTCCACCACCATACTATACATACGATAACAACCGATGATGGTCGGAACTACAGGAAGTTACAGGTAGACGCTTGCAAAGCGTTCAGACGAAATTAAAAATAAGATAATCACCGAGTTTACTTTCGGTTACGTTTATACGCGAAAGAAATGTTGCTCAATGCGTAACCTGAATTTTGTGTGCGTTTTCATACGCTTAAATTTTGTTTTGAATGCGTAAACGTGTTATTTCCATGCGTAATTTACGCGTATACGCATCTTATCTGGAGCCCTGATAACATTGATACATAATTTTTATTTAATATAATATTTATTGTTCTAGAACAGTAATTCATGATGATTTTCTGAAAAATCCTTATGCCATACTGGATTGAAGGGAAATTGGAAGGGTTTTAAAACATTCAAGTGCAATCATCGCAAATTGTTGTGATTCTTTTGAAATGAACTAGGCTTTACCGGGGCTCTACCTGGATCAACCGTAGCTCAATCGTCATCGTCCGGGGCTCTGCCGACATTTACCGGTACTCTGCCAGCATTCACCGGGGCTATACCGTAGCTCTACTGGCTATATCATACCCCAGATCATCCCCAGTTTGTGCCGGAAGAGCTACAGTGCTTCCCCTGTGTAACCCTGGTTATTCCCGACAGAGCTAAGGATGAAGCCTGCAGAGCTTTACTTCCCAGATCATCCGACACCACCTTGGTGATATAAAATATTTTATTCCATCCAGGGTCGAATGCCGGATGTCCCCAGATCATCCAAAATGTTGTAGGCAGTGTAACGGATGTACCCCGGTTGTTCCCGGTAGAGCCGTGAATCACCCCGGATGTCTACCAGGGCTCTGCAGGGATGTCAATGACACTGTAGCTTTAAGTCAAGACACATTATGAGGACCTTGTATTCACAGTTGTTATGGTGACTCTGTCATATTTCCAATCAAATATTTAACAAATGTTACAGCTTAAACTCTTAACCTGCAAATGGTGTCACACATTCTATCATGCAACCAGTGAAGATCAGAGCCAGCTTAATAATCCTTTAAAAGATTTTGAAATCAAAAAGATTTTGAATTATTTCGCTAAAATTGAAATTCGTAATTTTATAATATCAATTGGGGTATTAAGGGTTAAATGCCCAGCAGCTGAAAGGGTGGCTAACCTTACTTTTTATTTTGAAATACATGTACATGTGCCTAAGATAGCATTTATACCATCCTATAGAATAGCATATAAATTTATAATTACCATAAAAAATAATTTTAGCTTATCCCTTAATATATTTTTTAAATAAAGTGGTATAGGCTATATTATTCTCTATTGAGGACATTCATTCTCTTCAAACTTTTACTGATTATTCTTACTTTCATTATTTTTTATCATTCTAAACATGACTTGCACATATTATAATCTAATTTTATAATGGCTACATGTATTTTATGTGATTTAGAAGTAATGTTTTATTTTATCCAATTATTACATCCTATAAAAAAGATGCGAGTTTGAGATACTTCCGTTTTGCACAAAGAAAATAATTAAATTTGCTCAAAATTTGTGCGGAAAACAGTTGTAACTTGAGATACTACCCTTTTGCACAAAAAAATATGTAACAAATTATCAAAATTTTATTTGCAAAACGGTTGTAACTTGAACTTATTCAAATATCTTTTTTCAAAAATAATTTGCTTCTTTTTTCTTACTTTGTTTCTAATTCCTTAACTAAAATGTATATATTTTCCTAAAATAAAACATTTTTATTCATTAACAAAAGTTTTAAAAAGTTTTTTCATGCTCCTGAAAAATTTGCTTAAATTGAGTTACAACCGTTTTGCGCTAAGCCCGCGATACATGTACATGTACAAGATCTTAAAACTATATGTATTATGAATTCTAAATATATGTATGATAATGATTTAAAAAAATGTCACAGGTAAAAATGTCAGAACAAGTATAGTACATCATTCTGCGAACTATACTGCTGGCACACTTCATGACTTCAGCTAGTGGAAATTTGGGAGTCATTTACTACTTGACTTTGGCTGTGACTCCCAAAACAACTGTGCTTTTCCTTCTTTACCGCATAGATAGATATAATGTGACTTCCATTGTTAGAGATTTCTCACTCGGACTTGGACAGCTCAATCAATTGAAATCCTTTATGAAATAACAGACAGTTCCAAATAGGGTTTAGTCAATTATACAACTAATACAAAATGTGTAGCAAAATTATAATTGAATGCTTGAGATTATCAAAAATAATTTTCATAAAAATATTACATGTGGATTAATTCATGAGAAAAAAAAAATTTTTTTAGGTTTTACACAAAAATGAAGTTATATGAGCTGCGCCATGACAAAACCAACATAATGGGTTTGCGACCAGCATGGATCTAGACCAGCTTGTGCATCGGTGCAATCTGATCAGGATCCATGCTGTTGCTGTCAGTTTCTCTACTTGTTATTGGGTTTGTAAGCGAACAGCATGGATCCTGATCAGACTGCGCGTATGCGCAGGCTTGTCTGGATCCATGCTGGTCACAAACCCATTATCTTGGTTTTGTCATGGCACTGCTCAATTATGTACATGTGTATTGACACGAGAACAGCCAACTTATATCATATAAAGTGTGTCTACCAATAACTAACACATGAAAGCTTTTTCCAACAAAGTATATTATTTACCTCCAATTTTATGAAATCCTCATGGTAATTCTTAGAATACTATATCATTACTATATGTATGAAATAAACTACTTAACCCGCTGCATTAAATTTTTTTCTTCAAGTTATATAAAAAATGGACGTGTTCCTATTGGAAAGGTTACGAAAGTTCGTGCCACATACTATTATGATCAATGTTTTCTCATGACCACAATTCTGTTAATTTATAATCAAAGGATGTGCTAATATGCCCTTCAACGTCCTTGATGAATTAACATGTTCATTTATCTAATATTCAAATAACAAGAGCGATCAGTAATCACATGTGTAGCCTCATGATGGCCAATTTCATGTTGGGACAAATTTTGTGACAGACAGACAGACAGATGGACAGTGCACAACTAGACTTGGTACAGATCATTCCTGTGAAGTTTGGATGAAATTGCACCATTAGTTTATAAGGAGTAGTCCGGACAAGCTTTTGTGTATCTGGCAACACACAGGAAAAAAACACCTTTTTATCAAAGGGCCATAACTCGGCCAAAAATCATTCAACCGGAAAACCGTGCAATATGGGCAAGCACTTGAGCTACAGATCAATCCTGTAAAGTTTTATTGAAATTGCATTAGTGGTATAAGATAAGTAGTCCGGACAAACTTTAAAATTAAAAATTATTAAAGGGCAATAACTCTGACAAAAATCATTGAACCGGAAAATGCCGACAATATGCACAACTAGACTTGGTACTGATCATTCCTGTAAAGTTTGGATGAAATTGCAACAGTAGTTAATGAGGAGTAATCCGGACAAGTTTTGTGACGGACAGACAGACGACGGAGAAGTGATCCCTATATGTCGCCACTACTCCGTAGAGGCGACACAAAAACAGCGTTAATATATCCTGCAATGTTCTTCAAGAATAAACAATATTTTTAATATTCTGTTTCAATTATGAAACAAGGAAAACAACCTGATTAGCCTTTTGCTCCCTATGATATGATTTTACACAACACATTTGTAACACTGATTATCATTGGAGAATTATGATGTTTATATCATCTTTATACTCAGCCGATGCAAATTTATAAATTGATATCTTTTAATGTAATATAAATGTACATGTAGCTGTTGTGCAGTATTTTAAATTTAATAGTTATAAAGACTTTTGCCTGAAATTATAGTTGTGTATCTATGGTTGTTTGCTTGTTTGCCATATAACCCTTGCCTAACAGCTCAGGTCATAAAAGCCTACAATGGTTTATATTGGACCATATAACCTGTCAAAATCTACTAAAATTTTTACTCATCATGAGCACTGAAATTAGTACATTTTAACTAGAGCTGTCATTCATAGAAATGATATCAATTGTTATTTTTCTGTTAATTAACATATTTTTCTGTAGATTAACAAACATTTTAGAAAATCGATAATTTTTACTTAATATTAATTGAATGTCTAGAAATTATGAAAATTTACCCCAAATATATAAGCAGAAGCATATTTCATAGCAGAGATGACAAAAAATGGTCAGCAAAATAATTAAACAATGGGCATTTATAAACAAGACAGATGTATAAATTTATGCATTTAAATTGGTATGAAAAAGAATTACAGACAAGACAAGTAATTAATACTTTAAGTAAGTAATTATCATTATATATCAGTGCATCATCAATATTTGTCATGCGATATCAATATATCATCCATTTGCATAGCACTGAATCAATGACAGCTGTACATTTAACCTGAATCAACCTCATTACGAGTGTTAAAATAATCAAATTCTAACAAAATCCATTCATAGTGAAGATTAATACACGTTTTGTTTGTTTGTTTCATTTTACGCATTTTCCCAACAGTATTTGAGTCATATAGGCGGGTAGTTTCCTAACCATTGTTCCTGGAGAGTTAATACAGGTACAACATCACAGTCAAAATAAAAATCTTTAAAAAAAATCCTACCTGAGGTGTTCCATAAATTCTCCCTTGTATTTGAGCACATAAACCCTTCACTATCAAGCCTGGCAATCTTCTTAGCCACTCCCTCACTGTCTACAATGCTACTAGGTAATGGTCTTTCTACAGATTCATTGATGGCACAACCATGACCTCGTCTTGTCAATGTCGCAAACGATGATGTAGCATTATTAGAAATCCTCTGTCTATTTGGCGTAGTTCTTATTATGTTACTAATTAGATAACTTGTGTTGGCTCGCTTTGATGCTGATGTCGAGATAATATCTGATGGCATGATAGGTGAAAACGAGCTCGAAACTGACTGAATGTTTCCTGCAGTATGTCTTCTTTGCTGCCTATCTTCTATAGTTAAATTTAAAGCTTCATTTGAACCAGTGAAATGATTATGTCCATTTAATGGTAAAATACCACCTGGATTGCGAGGTCTTGGTAACTGTAGAATATCTAGATTATCAATTATCCTTATGCCGTGTTTGAACTCACGGCCAATCATTTTGTCTCTCATTTCTATCTCCCCCATACTACCAGCTCTCTGACGCTCACCAGGTGTCGCTCTTGCTGACGGGGAGGGTTTCGGTGATAGCGGAGCATAAGTTGTTCCACTTACTGATCCTGACCTTAACCTTGGTGTCCCAGGTGTACTGGGGGTGGCCAGCCTTACAAATGAAGGACTAGGTGTCACAGACCTTGAGCGACCTAAATAGCGGACGCTTATTTCACCTCCGTTGTCACAGATCTGATTATCATGCTCTTCAGTCAAACTACGACTCGAGGATCCAACTCTATCAGTAGTGTTATCTGTAGGCAAAGGACTGTCATCAACAATTATTTCACTTTCATTATCTGACAGATAGCCCCTATTTGTCTGGATTGTCAAGTTGTTGTCAGATGAAGACGAGTCTAACACATTTCCATCACAAACATTCTGAGACGAACTAAATTTAGCAGAAGAGCTAGATTTAGCTACGGTAAGGTTTTCCGGAGTTTGTTGAACGCTAGAACTGCTACAGTCACTACACTGTTGGAGATCTCTACCAGTATGATTGCTGGTACCATGCTGGCCATCATTCTGTATTTCCTTGTCCCTCTTCTCAGACAACACACTGCTCACAATGTCTGGACATCGTTCACCTGGTCATAGAAAATTTGTTATTTAATTGTATTATATTGGCAGAGACACCCACAAAAGATAAATGAAGTTTTCTTTGTATATACTAATATACATGCCTACTTTAGAAAATGAACCTAGCTTTTTGCAAAACACTTTCAGGTCAAAAAAGGCAACAGTTCTGAATTTTATAAATGTTCAGTTTAATGCATGGACTTTTAAATGTTCATATATTTACTGTATTAACTATTATACATGTATAAGACAAAGAGACATAAAATAAACTGATGTTAAGTATGTAGGGTGCAGTGGGTAGAGTCAGTCCCACATCACAGGGTCATTTACTCGAGTAAGTTATTTTAGTAAAGAGAGTGTATAACATATTCTGTAGGTAGTTTTTGGTTAGTCGGTACCACCAAAAGTGAAAAATATGGAAAATAAATAGACGTTTAATACATTTCCAAAATCTGGTTATCAATAAAGTAATGATATTCTATAAATATAAACCTGTGGAGACCACATCGATGACAGTATCAGTAGAGGATGTAGCACTACTGGCAGATACTATCTCCATGTCAGCATTGTTCTCCATAGCTTCTTCTTCTTCATCACCAGACACTATTTCCACATCATCAGCCATTCTCTACAATCTAAATAAGAAAAATCAATCACAACTGTAACATGGCACAATGATTTTTTTTTTGACTGGACATAAAAATGCACCCTAATAAAGGCCCTTTTCTAGCTATCAACTGTGTTAAAATTACTTGAAATATTACAATTAAAATCTTGAAAATTCCAAAAAATGTGAAAATAATTACCCAAAATGTCCATTACAAGGCATACCATGATACTATTTTTTTTTGAAAAACACCATTCAATAATAATAAATATAATTATTGAAAAAAGATTATGTTTTAATATACCATATTTTATCCTTTCTTCTTCATCTGGAGAATTATAAGCTACCAGAAAATAAATAAGAAACAGTCCTCTCAAATAAACAATTCTACTATAATTCTACTTTTCATAAATGTATACCAATAGCAAACACAATATTTATATATTATATGCTGTATACATGTAACCAAGTGCTATTTTTAAGGTTTTTGCTATTTTTTAAGAAAGGTAACTTTGTTGGCCTTGTTAATTTTAATTTTTACTTTGTGTAATTATGTTTTTTTAACCACATTGGCTATTTGCTTAACCATAACGTTTTTTTTTTAAAGTTAGGGTTACTTAAGGTTATTTTTTGTGTTAAAAAAGTTGTTGGTTATTGTAACATGTAAATGTGTTGGTTTTATATTATTAATAAAAATTTAAATTAAAAATTTGGTATTTGTATGTTTTATTCATTTGTTCTTAAAAGTTCTAATGTCAACTAAATAAAAACTTATAGTAATTAAATACAGTTGTAAATTTAATAAAAGTTATTTTAATAAATTTGTATTGTTCTTAAGTGTTAAAATTCAAAATGGCAGCATATGTTCTTATCTTATAGTTATTCATAAAAATCACTGTTTCTATTTGTATTGCACTAATGTTTGTAAATTACAGTTTACAGCATAATTAACAGCACAGTAAAACAGGTGTAAGTAACAAAGGTACATGTATATTTACAAAGTTTAATTTACAATTGGTATGTTATATTTATATGTTATTGTTTATATATTTTTAAAGCTATATGTATAATTTTAAGTTAAGCATAATTGTATATTGTTTTATAAGTAAATAATTAAGTGGTTACTAAATGCAGGTACAATATAATGTAATACATTTAAAAATGTATTTTATGTGTACATAATTTATTTACATAAAATAAAATAAATGGTTTATTTATATAAACTAATTTGTTAATTAAGTATATTTAAGGTACTGTAGTGTATACAAGTCATACAAATGTATAAAACTATATATTTCATAATAGTATAAAATGTTTGGTATTTATACTTTCATGGCTTGGTAGATGTGATGTAGATGTAATGTAACTGTAATGTAACAGTAATGTAACTGTAATTAATGCAATATAATGTTTATGTTGTACAATGTATAATATATAATGTTTAATAAAAAAATGTACTTTGTAACCTGTAAACTATAAATAGTGTCCACTACAAATTAAATTAAAGAACCAGTATTACCCTCAGTTTTGTTCTTTTATATATACAAGGCAAAAAAACATCGGGGTCACATACATGTAGGCCTAGTGAGTATGTTTAGATGGTAACAATATTCAGGGCAGATAGAGCAGTGCCACTTGCCATTGGCAATGAGTCAGACTGGTCATCGTCTACAATTTTCGTTTAGCGATTTGCCCACAAGTTAGAATGAAAGAAACATTTAATTTTGTAAAATCAGTGTGTTAACTTTACGGAGTTCAATGTATTAATAAAATATTAGATACAAATCTTCACATAATTTCTAATGATTAGTGCTCCGAAAGTTTTTAACAAGCAAGTTTTCTAACATATTCACACCTCTAAGATGTTGGGCATTGTTTATCTTTACTCGCCAAAACACTGCAACAATTATCAACAATTATGTATATGCAAAAATTGATTGAATCTGCCGCCATTATGTGTAATTTTTGGCTACAGTAGATTTTAGAATTTTATAAGTGATTAAGTCCTCTGGCTGCTATTTTTAACATTTTGAACTTTAATTTACCAAATATATTTTCTTCAAAATTTCAAATTCTCTACAAAATCACTCGGATTACTTCTTGGGTTAGTATTAGGGGTTAGTGCTTTGGGTATGGGTTAAAGTTAGGATTTTAAACCATGGATTTAGCTGCAGACAGATTCTAAAATTGCTCCGGATTTATTCATTTTACATATTTTTACCTCTTTTTGATAATTTATTTGTATTGTAAGCACCATTTGCATTCTTTGGTTGCTTACCAATGTTTTACTTTAATATATATGCATTTATTTTTATAAAAAGCATGAACCTAGAGGCATGCTGCTTGAAATTACACTGGAGTTCTAAATTTATTTTTGTCAGATTAAGAACTGTTAAGCTTGAAATCTCTCTTAGAAAAGCTCGTGCTCAAATGGGAACGTCTTCAGAAAACCCCTACAGATCGTTATAACAGAAATAAACCATGTCTGAAGTACAAATGAAATCAACATTATCAACAACTTCAAGGCATGCACCGATGCAGGTCGTAAAATCCAAATCTAATTTGCAGAAGTTTCAAGACGAACCACAAAACAACAAACGAATGTCTTGAGCATTTGTACTTACTATTATACTCACCAATGTCAGTGTTATCATAAGAAATTTAAAATAGCGTCAATTGTTTTTGCATAAGTCAATAAAGATACAAAATGTTTAAAAATCCAGGAAATTTTTTGTCACTTTATTTTCATAATTCTATCTCCAATGTGAAGAGTATTCTCGTGACTTCACGAGCCTAAAACAAATATAGAAGAAACAAATATTTTTGGTGAGAAAGTGAAATAATTTCATGTTAAATTTAATTTATATCAATATAATAGTAGAACTTTACGAACAATGTGAATTTTAATACAAGCAGTACCCAGATTTGATGAGAAGATAGCTGTCATACTGTACATAGATCACAGCATGGTACATGCACATATATATTCATGCTCAAATATCAAAATAGGATACAGTACTGTAGGTATTTTAGTTCTTGCTTTGTCTTGTCATATGACTGTTCATCGATATAGTGAATAAATTATATAGAGCTCTTGAAAAATAAATATATTTCCATATATCATTAATTGAAGCCGGGATAACACACAGACACTTGGGGTGTGGACCTTAAAACGCCTTCAAAATCCAAATAAAATGTATATTTGTCACCCCAAGTGTCTGTATGATAACATAATCCATAAAGAATTATTCGAGTTTTTGCATGAAAACAAATTAATGCTTTTTTAGACTGCATATATTTTTACATATGAGTACATACTAATGGACAATTTCTTTAAATTTGGGATTGATATTTGAAGGAATTTTCTTTTTAATTTTTTTTTCAAAGAAAAAATGTATGCATTTTTGAAGATGAGAGCAGAATAAAAAATGTACATAAATTATGTTAAATTAAGTGATGGCCTCTTTAAAGGATCTTTAAATGCTGTGAAAATTCCTTTTTAGGGAACTCCATCTTTGAACATTTGCTCGGATCTGGTACGAGTTAACTATCAAGCATTTTTAAATCAAACGTAAACTGTCTTTTTTATTTTAAATCATACAAACATAATCATAGGCCATTTGATTTTATATATAATTCAGTGTAATGTATGATTTTATATTTATTGAATTCAATATTGCTTCCTAAAACGCTTATTAATTAATTGTATCCCGGTATATTCAAGAGAAAGTAAACTTAATTAATCAAATATATAATTAGATATTACAGATCCGTATCAATGCACTGACAAATTGGGAAGATGCCTAGTTAGCATAATATTATTTTATTTAACGAGCTCAATAAATTCAGTTATGAACTTACACGAGTTTAAAATTTAATATTTTACTTAGATCACGTACTAGTTCATACTTAGCAATCTCTTACGGAGTGATCTCCCCTTATCTGTACAGAGATCTGCCAAGGGAAGTATACAATCACTGTGAGAAGTTTGCATACTTAGTCCCAGATTGATACGAATGTGATTTGTAAATGTTCATCTTTTAGGTAAAAACATTAACATTTTAAGTATTTACACACAGGTAAAATACTCATTTTAGTGTAAATAATCACAATGTTTTTGGCAATTTTAGGCATGGATATGAGATCGCAGTATAGAACAGTTACGTCCCTTTTTAAACTTCACGACTTTTACAACAACTAAACCCATTAATTATTAGTGGTAAATAACAAGATAAATATATAAAACCGAGTTACTAATATGGTTTAATAATGGGATATCTGCTTATTTAGATAAACATTTGACTTTTAAAGTTCCATTTATTGCCACTTAGAGGAAATATTCCTTGATTCAATGATAATTATAATGATAATGTCTTTTACCTTTTCAGATGAACAGTTCAACAAAGAATTACATGTGCGGATTTAATGGATTTAGACAGATTAACCATTGTAAGAAAGAGATGCAGTCCAATGCAGTCAAGAATTTTGTAGAGGACGATAATTTTTTCTCAATTCCACAAGAAATTAGCACACAAATGAAGCTGTGCACATGGTCAAATTTCTGGGGAATGACTGGTACACATCTAATAATTATTTTTTTTATAATCATTCTTCTGTAAATGGAAATTGAATTAACACCTATCACAGCTTGGTTTTGTTATCATTGCAGTTAAATTTAATGCACATGACTAGCAGGATATAATAGAAAACATACAATTTCCAAATGCATAGATTACATATGTAGGTCCCCTATGTCAAATTACTTACTGGAATACATGTATCTTCATACACGTTTTTGAACATTTTGTTTCAGTTGCCTAATATGGCCTTAATATCAGCTATTGAATTATTTTTCTATAAATATAGGTGTCTTTTGTGTTGATTTTCCTTACTGCACATGTACTCTTTACTTAATTTGTGAATTCTTCTTTCAAATTTTTTAAGACAGAGTGGACTTTGTTTATTAATGGATTGATTGATTTGCATTGTTTGGTTTGTTGCTTGATTAATTGATTGATTGATTGATTCTTTATTTATATAATTGCTATTTTTACTATTTAATAGGGAATAATATAATGTAAAGAAATATTGATGTTTTTAATAGAAGTTTTGGAAATAAATAAGTCTGTTTGATTTGCCATTTATTTAGAAATGTTAAAAATGCATGTGCTACATGATGTGCAAGGCAGTAGATCTATATAAAGAAGTTTACTTTAGTGTCATATTTTATTCCCATTGTTTATTTTACAGATGACAAGCTGACATGTTATGGGTACAATAGCTCACAGTTAACTACATATCTTCAATTTAACAGAAAGGAAAAATTATCAAAGATGTCAATGATAGCTGTAGGAAAATATGTACTCATACACGATAACTGTCATACCTTAGTAATAGAAGATGATGCAAAAATATGTGAGTTGACATTAGATAAAAACTTTGTAGCCCTTGTGGATGGAACAAAAGATCATGTGTATGGGATTAAAGGTAAGATTTTGTAAGACTGACGAAATGGCTGCCGTATACTGTCTTACTTTTTATTCTTGTTGGAAAAGATAAGTTTATTCTTTATATTTTCCTTGTATATAACAAACTAATGCTTTGCCTGCATCTGAGGGACTTTACATTTAAAGCATTTGTGAATGATTTCACAAAATTTAATCACTGTGATTTTTTTTAAACAAAATTTTGCTCAATAGGTATGGATTCTAGTCCTAAAAAGATAAAGGCAACATGCTTTACTGTAATTTGTTTCAATTATATTTTAGAGGAACAGATTTTTGAAGGACAAATTGTTGAGACATCTGGTGAACCTTATAGTATGAAATTAAACTTACATGTCATTTCAAATAATCACAGTGTGAAGATGGTATCTTGTGGGTTTGAACACACACTTCTGCTGACATGTGGAGGTTCAGTGTTCTCATTTGGCAGTGGTAGGTAGGTCATTATTTCCTACCTTCATATTTTCCTCCATCAATCATTACTAGTGACAACTCCTAGGAATCAGTTGTCTTATGTGACTATGGCACCAAAAAGGGATTGGAATTTAATGGGAAAATAAAACAAACAACATAGAATTTTAATCATCATAATCAGTATCATAATTATTATTTTTAGCATTATCATTAACATCATCATGATTATCATTTTCATTATTATCATCATCCTTATAATGACATCATCATCATCATCATAGTCATAATCATCATTAATTTACTGATTAATCTTGACGTTCATTTTAGTGTTGCCTGCTACAGAGTAGTGTTGACATATAGGGATGACTTTTTTGCCGTTTGTCTGTCCGTCTGTCATTAAACTTGTTGCGCAATTAAAACTGTTTGATAATTGTTGATTTTTGTTCATATATTCAGTCGAGGTCAGCTAGGCCATGGGGAGGTTACGGTTGATCTTATTAAAACACCAAGACATGTAGAAACATTGTCTGGAATTTCTGTAGTTTCAATAGCAGCTGGAGGATGGCATTCAACATCAGTGACTGGTTTGTGTTTATTTATAGTTGGTCAGTTATGTTACAAAATAATTTTAGCTATATTGCTTGTATGCTGTATGATAAATCAATTATATAACTTCACAATTTTAGATGATCAGCTAGAAAGCATTTGGCTATACAGCTTAATTGTATGATTTCTATAATAAATCAATTATAAGAGCATGATTTTATATAATAATGCTTGTATACACATATTTTATGTGTAAGTTTTTAAACAGTTACAGTTTTGCTTTTAAATCAGGATGATATTGATAACCATTTTGATCAGATCAGAAGGTGGTGACATTTTATAAAAACAGAAAGTGATTACTCTGTTAAAATTCATAGTTTCAAAACCTTTTATCTACATTGTATCATCAAGAACGTTTTGACAAAACTGGCGGCAGATGATCATGATGATTGGGGTGATTCAAAAAATTAGTTAAACAACTTTATCCCTGGAAATGCTGTACCATTGACAGATACCCATGGCCGAACTATTAATCATTGATTGCATGTAATGTCATGTTAAATGTTAATCAACCGTAGGTATCCAATGATGATGCTGTGTATGAAGTAAGAAAATGTGTGCAGTAATTTGAATTTGATAAAAAAAAGTAAGAATTTGATTTTAAAAAAAAATGTTGCATAGTTGCACATATGATGGAAGATGATCATTAACCTTCAATTTGATTTTTCCGTACAAGGGGAAATTTTTTGGTAAGCTGTCCTTTGACTGCAGTCTCAATCTGCCCTTGATTTTACTCCCCTTTGACCTCTGTGAACTACTTTTTCAGTTTTTTTTGTGTTTTTTTTAGATACAGGAGATGTTTATGTTTGGGGTTGGAATGAGAGTGGACAATTGGGATTACCAAATGGTACAATAACCAGTCAGGATCTTATAGCTTCATATCACCCAGCAAAGGAAAACAAAAGCTTGTTAAATCAAGAAACAGAACTTGATAAGCGTCCATACCACAGTGATGTTGAAAAAAGATCAGAAGATACTAAATATGAAACTGCATACAAAGTAAAATGTTCAGAACTACTTAGTTCTGGAAAACAATTCATGCATATTGAGAAAGAGACTGATACAAAAATGAAAGACTTGGATAACTGTGCTGAGGTTTCTGATGATTTTACAGAAACTGATGGGAAAACTACTGTTGATAAGGATGTTACAGATGAAAATATAATTTTAAAAACAGATCAGGAAAAGAGTAAGGATGAAGAATGTTCAGAAAGAATAAAAAAAATTCCAGACTGTGACTCTAGTTTTGAAGGAGACTGTGTTCATCAAAAATATTACCAGTCTATAGACTGTGTCCAGGTACAGACTGTGCCATACGGTTTAGATTTTCCAGATGAACTGAATGTGAAAACAGTTTCCTGTGGAACAAGACATACTTGTTTATTATCTGGTAATTTTCCTTTATTAATCTTTGGAATAAGTTGATAATTTAAGTATTTGGGCTATTAATGAAATGGCTAATGGCCTATTAATTGAATGACTTTAATTTATTACATATCCAATACCATGTCTAGAATTGTTATCTTTAGTGATTTACCAAACATTTTATATAACGAAATAGCACCATCATGTTTTTACAAAGCAAATTCTTTGGAGACTCTGGAGTGGTTGCTGTTTACTTGCCCCTCACCACTGCGGGTTTGAATCCCAGCAGGGACTATGGATTCTTTCATGTGAGGAAGCTATCCAGCTGGCTTATGAAACATAGGTGGTTTTGCTTAGTTGCCCATTCGTACCTGAAAAATTTCACAGAGTGGCACCTGAGGTCACTCCACCAGTAAAGCTGGAAAGTCATCATATTACCTCTACCATGTTCGTGGACTGTAAAACCCAACAAAAAAACGAAATTTGAAATAAGACTGAAAAAAGGCTCTTTACAAAAATTTAGTTATGTGAGCTGAATCATTTAAGCAATTAAAATACTAAAGTTTAGTTAAATGACATAAGTGGACTAATATACAGTAATGTTTATATATTTGTATGTTGATGCTTAAAGCATGGTATAATGTTTACAGCAATCAAGATTTTAAATTTGATAACATCTACTCAAAGCTTAATATTAATATAGGGTGCATTTTGTTACATTTGTGCTCTTATTACAGACCTTTATCTTGTTCTTTGTTTCTAATTTTAGATGCTGGTATATTATTGACAAGTGGTTGGAATGGCTATGGACAATTAGGTCATGGTGATACTGTATCAAGGGATTATTTTGAAACTGTTACACATTTTAGTGAACAGAATGAGTCAGTTATTGATGTAAAAGCTCAATATTGGAACACTTATATTGTTACTGATAGGAAAAATAATATAGAGAAAAATAAAATTGTGTAAAAAAAAACAACACCAAATTTTAATTATTTTGTTCATATGGTAAATTGCCTAGTCAATGAATAACAGTATAACTTTACTTTATTGCTGACAATTTGGTGGAAGACCACACTATCATGTCAAATGCGGAAATTTGGTTGAAAACTACATTATCATGTCAAATGCTGACATTTTTATCATGTCAAATGCTGACAATTTGGTGGAAGACTACATTATCATGTCAAATGCTGACAATTTGGTGGAAGACTAAATTATCATGTCAAATGCTGACAATTTGGTGGAAGACTACATTATCATGTCCAATGCTGACATTTGGTTGAAGACTACATTATCTTGTCAAATGCTGACATTTGGTGGAAGACTACATTATCATGTCAAATGCTGACAATTTGGTGGAAGACTACATTATCATGTCCAATGCTGACATTTGGTGGAAGACTACATTATCATGTCAAATGCTGACATTTGGTGGAAGACTACATTATCTTGTCAAATGCTGACATTTGGTGGAAGACTACATTATCATGTCAAATGCTGACATTTGGTGGAAGACTACATTATCATGTCAAATGCTGACATTTGGTGGAAGACTACATTATCATGTCAAATGCTGACATTTGGTGGAAGACTACATTATCATGTCAAATGCTGACATTTGGTGGAAGACTACATTATCTTGTCAAATGCTGACAATTTGGTGGAAGAAGATATCGGATCAAATGCTGACAATTTGGTGGAAGAAGTCCATGTTTATTTTGTTTAATGCTGACATTTTTTTGGCAATTCTGACAAATGTTATTTCTTCTCCATCGTTGAAGTGACTTTGGTGCAAAATTATGCAGTTCCTTGGGAAAAAAAGCTAAGACCCAATTATAAACCTATTCATGTTTAATTACAAGTTTAATGATAAAGTAATGAAAGTTAATCTAGCAACATTTAAATAAATTGAATGCTCCTGTGTTATAAAAGAATTGCAACAATTTTTTGTTTGAAAGGTAATAAGATTTGTTTTGTTTGGTTTTACAGCACAACACAATTAAGGTCAAATAGCACTGAAACAGATTAGATGATTTTGGCTAAACCTCAGATGTTACTAACTTAAAGCAACACAAGGGGTCAAAACCACCTCGCCTGCTGGAGCTAAGAGATGCATAAACTCCAGTGCTAGTAATTCAAATCCATTAAGTCACCTCTTACAATCACTCAGGGATAAACTGTGTCTGCAATTCTAATGCCTTGACCCTTTAAATGCAGCCACTAAGCCACAAGTAAACACAACAAAAAACAAACAAACTAGTATTGATAAAAACTTTTTTTTATTAATCATGGATACAGATTGTGGAAATAAAATGTGGTACAACTGCAATATTTAAAAACAAATCTGTACACCTATATAAAAAACCAGAAAAGAACAAATAAAATGATAATGCATTTAACAGAGAAATAATGTATTATATATATATTATGTAATGTAATAGAATATAATATTGCAATGTACGAAAACATGACAACTCGACATGAACAAAATTGATCGAAAACATACTTGAGAAATAAAGAAATACAAGAGACCTAAACAGTTTATGAGGTGATTTTTCAACTCGACTTGTAGGGCAAAGACACCCCCAACAAAGGTGTCCCTTAAAGCAAGATTTTCACGCATGATCGAGCATTTGATGAAAAAAAATAACAACCCATAAGTGAGCTGGCTAACTCCCTCATATTAAGACTTTCAACATCCTCAGCTGAACAAAATGAGCATTTGAACTGATTCATGGTAAACATGCATAATAAAAAAAAGAGTACAGAAAAAAAGACAATGAAAACTGGATCACCATCAAGTGATTTATCAATTATGTCTGTTTCTATCTTTCATTACTAACAAGGTCAAAATAGCAGTTTTTTTTTCTTTTATTAACTTGATTTTCCTTTTTCAAAAAATTACCAAATTGGATATTTTGAATTTTAAAATTGAATTTCTTGTAAAATAAGTTAAGGGTTAGCAGTATCATATATGTCCAGTCACAAGCCCTGACACAAATAAAAATTTAGTTTTGGCCAAACTACCATATTTTTTCTTTTAATGTAAGGGAGAAAACTCATCTATGCCAAATCACCTAAAATGATTTTAATGATGTGAAACATACTATGTAAAATGAAATTCTGATTAAAATTGGCCAAAATGTTTTGATCTTAGTAAACAAAAAAAAACAGAAAAAAAAACATTTACATTTTTCTTTAAAGAAAGCCAAGAAATAATGATGAAACACTTTGCTTACTAATGATGAAAACTGACACTCAGCATGGAAGCTTTCTGTATACAGTATTGCTTAATTTACAGTATTAGGAGGAAAACACTTTATTCAATGATTTGATTCAAGTTGCTTAAAAATAAAGTAAAATGCATCCCACATTTAGTGTAATGAAATGCTGTATGACAATCCAAGAATGAATTTGTGGTTACTGCTTATTGTGTGTAATGTTTGGAATAAATGATAAATAATTATGCTTAATTAAGGAATTTCTCAGTTTCAAAAAATAAAGGCAAAACAATACATACTTTTTTCTGTTTTAAACAATGGATATGAAAATTCTTAGCTAAGCTTATGTACTATAAGCTTTTTGCTTTGTGTTTGCTTTGCACAATTAACATAAAAAAATATTTTCTACAGTAATCTAACCTGACTGTTATCTAATCTAACAAAGAAACAAACTTGTACATAGATTTTACCTGATCTTTGGCCATTTTAATAATAATCTCTTTGTGTAAAGTCCAGTAAAAAAAAAACCAGCAATTCTTAACATGTAACAAATAAATTACTGTTTTATTAAGAAACTATACTCACTTTAAAACAGTCTATGTGGCTGCATGGCCGAGTGATTACAGCATCGAACTAGTAAGCAAATGATAACTAGCCGCATGGGTTCAAACCCCATCAGGGGCAAGTCGTTGTTTCCTTGAGCAAGAAACTTTACACTCATTGCTCAGTAATGGTTGGTAACAGGAATGGATCCGAAAGTGTGTCTATAGGCTTAATAGTTTCCTACACAATCAAACTTATATAAAATTCTGTATAAACCAAACAGTTTAATCTTATCTTCATATGACATCATTGACCATTTTTAAACAAAATTTCATGCTAAGGATTCAACTATGTAAACCTGATAATTTATCTTTCTGTTCAAACTTTTGCCATTCTTATCCTGTATAACAAACTTGTCTTACTTTGAATTTGAATCAGTCCATTGTAAAATTTAGCAGCCAGATCAGGTTAAATGGATATGAGCCGTGCCATGACAAAACCAACATAATGGGTTTGCGACCAGCATGGATCCAGACCAGCCTGTGCATCCGCACAGTCTGATCAGGATCCATGCTGTTCGCAAACCCATTGTGTTGGTTTTGTCATGGCGCGGCTCATATGTTTTTGTAGGCTGGACTGTACTGGCTGGAAGTCACAACAACAGAGTATAGGTCATATGGAAACTTTTCAGCTTTAATAGTGGAGGAAGACCTTGAGTGCTCTACCGTGCAATAATCATTTCAGGCACCCGAGTAGAAACACTGATATACATTAAGCTAGTGAGCTAGCTTCCTCACATGTAAGAATCCAAAGTTCCTGTCAAGATTCGAACCCACAGAAGTGAAGGGCAAGTGGTTTGAAGTCAACAAGCTTAACCACTCAGCCATGGACACTTCAGTTGTCACTTTATAGGCAATTTATTACCTTTATTTACTATCCTTAACTTTAATAATTAACAGCTTGCCTGCATAAAGTTCATCTGCATATCTATTTATATAAAGAAAATGAAATGGTTAAAACATATTCTTATTGGTCACTTAAAATATACAACTGTAAGTTCCAGATTGCAAACTAAATAAACAATTATAGTATTTGGGCAAAGTAATTTTAGTTCAGTAAGCCTTGAAAATCATGATTATTTCATTGATATGGACAAAAAAAACTGTGGTCAACATACCTTAATTTTTGTGTCTGTTTCATACACATAACATGATTAATTTCTGCAATAACTTCAAATAACACGCTTATAAAATGTATAAAACATAATTACACATATGTTAAAACATAAATATGATAATATATTGTGTATACACTGAGATTATTCTGTGACATAAATCATTCAATAACAGCATAACAAAGACAGCACATTTTAACACTATGAAGCGATGATTCTTATACTACAATATGGATCTCTAAATGGAAAAAATACGGTAACAAATCACAGCCACTAACAACATTGCAAAAAATCATCACAAAATACATCACACTGATATTGTCCATAACAAGTCTACAGAAAATTAATACTGTTATAGCATAATTCAAAATCTGTGTTGAAAAAAACAAAGATGATGGCCCTGAGGTCGCTCACCTGTAATATAGGCCCCCCCCCCAACCATCCCCCCCCAACCTTGCAGGGCCAATTTAACCCAAGGGCTTTTATTTGCACAAACTTGGTAGACACCCATAAGAAGATGTTTCATGCTAAACATCTAAGCTCTAGCTCATTGGGCTTTTTAAAAGAAGATTTTTTTTTAAGTTTTTACTATACACATATAGTTAAAAACAATGACACTCCTGGGGCCAGGGCCAGTTTTGACCCAAGGGCTTTTATTTGAACAAACTTTGCAGACACTTACTAGAAGATGTTTCATGCTTAATATCTAAACTCTAGCTATTTGGGTTTTTTCAAAGAAGATTTTAAGTTTTTGCTATACACATATAAAGAAAATCAATGACCCCCGGGGCGGGGCCAATTTTGACCACAGGTCTTTTATTTGAACAAACTTTGTAGACACTCACTAAAAGATGTTTCATGCTTAATATCTTAACTCTTGCTATTTAGGTTTTTTCAAAAAAGATTTTTTAAGTTTTTGTTATACACGTAAAAGGAAAATCAATGACCCCCGGGACGGTGCCAATTTTGACCCCTGGGCTTTTATTTGAACAAACTTGGTAGACACCTATTAGAACATGTTTGATGCTAAATATCTTAGCCATGGCTTTTTGAGTTCTTTAAAAGAAGATTTTTTAAGTTTTTACTATATGCATATAGGGAAAATCAATGACCCCCCCCGGGGCGGGGCCAATTTTGACCCCAGGGCTTTTATTTGAACAAACTTGGTAGACACTTATTTGAACATGTTTCATGCTAAATATCTTAGCTCTAACTCTTTTGGTTCTTTAAAAGAAGATTTTTTAAGTTTTTACTATATGTATATAGGGAAAATCAATGGCCCCCTGGGGCGGGGCCAATTTTGACCCCAGGGCTTTTATTTGAACAAACTTGGTAGACACCTATTAGAACATGTTTGATGCTCAATATCTTAGCCATAACTCTTTGAGTTCTTTAAAAGAAGATTTTTTAAGTTTTTACTATATGCTTATAGGAAAAATCAATGACCCCCCAGGGCGGGGCCAATTTTGACCCCAGGGCTTTTATTTGAACAAACTTGGTAGACACCCATTAGAACATGTTTCATGCTAAATATCTTAGCTCTAGCTCTTTGGGTTCTTTAAAAGAAGATTTTTTAAGTTTTTACTATATGCATATAGGGAAAATCAATGACCCCCCGGGGCGGGGCCAATTTTGACCCTAGGGCTTTTAATTGAACAATCTTGGTAGACACTCACTAGAAAATGTTTCATGCCAAATATCTAAGCTCTAGCTCTTATGGTTTTTTAAAAGAAGATATTTAAAGTTTTTTCTTTCGGTTGCCATGGCAACCAGAGTTCTGCATGGAATTAAATTCTTTGAACAATTTTTAAAGGTGACCACCAAAGGAACATTCCTGTGAAGTTTGGATGAAATTGGCTTAGTGGTTTATGAGGAGATGTCATTTAAAGTAAAAGTTTACGAACGGACGACGGACGGACGACGGACGGATGCCGGACGAAAAGCGATCACAAAAGCTCACCCTGTCACTTTGTGACAGGTGAGCTAAAAAGACACAGTGAAAGCTAAATTTTAAACCAGTCTCAAAAAAATGGAACTTCTCAATTGCTTTTCTTGCAAAAAAAAGTATTATTGCTATGACCTATTTTGTTTATAAAAAAAAGTTTATAAAATCTTCTCTTTTTTTCAAAACAGTCTCTTTTCAGTGTCTTAATCTTCATATTTTATAAATTATAACTATCTTAAAACCTACAAATTCTTTAAACTGCCAAAAATCAACTAGTGTTGAAAGTTTATCTACATGATTTTATCAATTATGTTTAGAACTTTAGCTTCAAATATCAATTTATTATAAGTGATTTCCAGTGAAAAATTGTTCATTATTACAGCATAGTTCTGTATGATAGCTTCAGGTCAGTGCTTTCACTCAGTTACCTGCTAGTGTCTCGAAATATAATTCATGGATGGGCACCTGCGGTCTTGTTTCAAAGTCATGATGAAACCTATGCATTGTCCAGAGCAACTTTCAGACCCAACAAAA